AGCTAAAAAACATAGAATCGGGTCTTCATGAGGGCTCATACATCAGACGCATATCTTAGAATATAACAAGAGAGGCCCTATGAGAATTATGCATAAACATAGAATGGATTTTATCCCATTATCCTCTGCACCCATCATCCTAAGCACCCATTATCCTAGCCTGTCCATCCCTCATGGATGGAGAAGAATCCTTCAGACAACCCCAGCCAACCACAATATGTTCCCAAGAAAGGAATGCTGAATCTGATGGTACAATCATAAGCTGCCCAACATTCCCATATTTCAGACAAACCAGGCCCTGATAGGGTATAACCGAATGGACAAAGGGCGTTCCAATGAGCCTAAGCCAGCCTAGACGACAGCTTTGGTTTGGAGACGCCGAGTATGTCCCAATGAGCCCATCCCATAGCAGACGTAGCTGTACACTTGAGAACACTCCAGACGAGATATGTGTTCACCTCAGACACATGACATTCCTCTGCCACTTGACCCTAAATGTCGTGCAGCAACTGTCCCACACAATAACCTTGCACCAATGCCCCTCTCCCAGATCTCCCCTTTCCACGACGAGGCATGAAGTTTGTACCCTTTCCCCTCGTGTCCGCCATACATGATGTCGATGTCTCTGTACTCTCCCCTTTCTACACAGCATTACTCGCGGGAGGAGGTTGGGTCTCCGTCGTGACGCGCGGAAAGACGTGCACCTTCACCCCCCCTCCTTCGACAACTTCCTCGTCGGTTTCTTTCTGTACGTAACAGAAGCGGTAGCAGGCGAGCACGATAAGCGTAACGCATGCGAGGGACGCGACGACAAGCAGCGCGATTCTCCACCATGGAAGGTCTACTAGCCCATACCCTACGCAATGGTGCGAAAAAACAGTAAATTTGAAACAGCAACAGGCCGCGCGAGAAAGTACGACCTCTCTTACGGAGCAAGTCGGATTAAGATAGATAAATCATCACTTACCGTTAGGGTGACGCAAAGGCCAACGCTGGTAAGTGCAAAGGTGCACGGACTCGGGAAACGAGACGTTCTAAAGTATGAGATAAAATAACATGAGCGAACCGCCGTCAACATGCGCCTACCGTAATTGAACTCGTGGCCTCCAGCACTCGTGTAATACCACGCCGCATCGTTGCCTGGCAAGCCTTGAAGCAGGAGCAATGACAAACCTAAAGGCCACATTGCTAACGACATGCGCCTCGGTTGCACGGTGAAACCCGCGTTCAAGGACAGCGAAACCTGGAAGACAGAAAATATATTCTTTTGTTAAGGAGCCGATAGAAACCTACGAGACAGAAAGGTGGACTCTGGAGATTGGATCGGATCCTTCCGTACGAGGCCTACCAACAAAAAAGGTCACAGCTTCACGTGGTTAACCATATAACGACCGACAAGGGTTGCAACTTTGCTGGTCTCTCTAGAGTATAACCATTAACACCTGAGTCTCTAGAGTTCTTGTTGTCTGCAGCCCCTCCGTACTACTACGTAGGGACGAAGGCGCACGAAGTTACTTCGACTGCTGTTGTTTTTTTTGTTTCTCTAACTTGACTGCGCGCATCAATTTTGCAGCTCACGTTGCCTTGCGAATCACCATATCTTCTAGCTTCAGTCGGGACGAGACATGCAGATGTTTGAAGCCTACCCAAACAGGCCAATAACCCGGACTCGAGTGGGTCTCAGTCCAGTGATTACGCTGATACTGGGAACGTTTGGAGCGGAGGCATCTGGGGCTCGGATATATCTCAAGCCGCTCCTGTGTTAATTGCTAACCCCAACCCACCGTCCCCCCCCTCCCTCACACACAGACTACCATGCGATTGGCCGCCATGGCTACCCGTGCTCTCTCTCCTCCCCTCCCCTTCAGTTTGGTCGCCCCCGAAAGTGGGTTCAAGTCAGTTACCGTGGATCCCACACGTCGGCGAGGCTGGTGGGTTGGTGGGGTGGGGGGGAGGGGATCCAATAATCGGCATTTGGTGTGCGGAAATAGCATTGCGACTCGTGATAAACTGGGCGGTTCGGCATGCGTTATACAGTATTTCATGCCTGGCAGCAATAATGATTGGAGGCTCCAAACCAAAGCCAGTCGTGACCTCCGCTAGTCACGGGGGGTGGATCTCGTGATAAAGAAAGCGGGTACACTTGACCAATAGCTTAAGCCCATACACGAACTTAGAGCTGGTGAAAAGGCCAGATCTACATATAATGAAATTCATCCTTTCATTAGAAAAAAAAATGAAATTCACCCTTTTAATTATATTTTATGAAGTATATGATACAGTCAGAACAAAAAACAAATATGATTTATTTTTCAAATATTACATTATTCGGGCCTACGATTTCAATAAATTAGGAGTTGGCATTTAATTTACTGGGATGTCCAACGTCTGAAAAAATATTTTTTAATCGTTTTTATGTTGATACAGAATAGATATGATAGCCCGTGACATCAAAGGGTGGTTGTGCCGCACAAAAACATACATTTAGCCTAAATCATTAAACAAGCATGTACAGCTATTTCTGCAATTGATGCTGGCAATAACACTCCGCCCTTCTTTCATCCTACATCAGCCCCACCAGGTGACGTTGACTTGAACGGCAAGCTCTTGGATGCTTCCTCAGGCCTCGCTGGTTGTGGGACTGAGTCATTTGTGCTGGATATGCGTCAGCATAGGCACCCGTGGATATTACGTGGACTGCCATGACCTTGACCTTGATTGGGGCGTGTGATAGTGATTAATGACAACCACAGTTTAATACCAATAAGAGTTATTACAGGCTCTCTTAGCTGGTCATTTGTTTTTTGTTTCTTGTTAACTTCAAGATTCAGTCTTGTAAAAAGTCGCATTTGGGCAGATGAAATATGTCAGAAGTACGGGCAGAATCCCTCAAGCTGGTGATGATGACACCAAGCGGATGACGTGTGCGCAACCAAATTACCGCCACCAGAATCAAAAGTGACATGAGGTGCTGGATGCATCCCGAGCCGCGCGCCAGCTTCTATCTAACCTCTCCTCTGCCCTTGTCGCCAGCAGCAGCCACACTGGCGAGGCGAATAAATCGCCGCGGGCATTTCCCCATTCCATCACAGTTCACTTTGCAGTGTCATTACCACGGTCCACAACACACAAGCCCCTCCCTCTCAGCCTTTTCACTCTCGCCGCCCACCGGCTTCGGAGTTGTTCACTCCGCACCCACACTCCACCGCCGCCGATTTTCATCCTACCAGCAAAGATGGGTTTCGAGGGCGAGGCTCGCGTGGTCGTGGAGAAGGAAACCATTGCCGATCCGGCTCCTCTGGGGCTCGCGGCTTTCGCGCTCACCACCTACGTGCTTTGCGCACACAATGCAGGTAACCTCGCCTCGGTCCCACGCATTTCGTCGTTCTAACTGGATAATCAAACTCCCCACGTCCCTCACGCTGGAAAATCACCCCAATTGTAAATCTCGCTATCATTACCATGTTAATTCACTCGCGCCGTCCTGAACGTCCTTCGCGCGTTCCCCGGCGGTGTGGCAGGGTGGGCGCCCGACGTGATCTGGGTGGGGCTGGCGTTCTTCTACGGCGGGCTGGCGCAGCTGCTGGCGGGCATGTGGGAGTTCAAGAAGAACAACACGTTCGGCGCCACCGCATTCTCCACCTATGGCGCCTTCTGGATGGGCCTCGGCTTCTTCGTGTTGCTCAAGCTCCTCGGCTATGTACGTCCCCCCCTTCCCGCCTCAGGCTCAAATCCTTGAGAACGGTAACTTCGAATGCCACTCAGTCGCCCTCTCCGTTCTTCCGTACCCCAATTCCCCATCTTCACTCCTCGAGTCGATGCTTCTTCCGTTCGACCCCGGTCATCATCATTCCTCGTCTCCTCCCCAATTCACGCGCCGCCGCGCGCCCGCCCGTCCGACGTGCTGCACGGCATCAGGTGAAGCTGGAGGCGGCGGACATCTCGGAGGCGCTGGGGTGGTTCCTGTCGGGCTTCTTCATCTTCAACAGCTACATGACCATCTGCGCGCTCATGGCGTCGCAGGCCGTGCTGCTCGTCTTCGTGCTGCTCGAGCTCACGCTGCTCTGCCTCTTCATCGGCAACTTCAAGGGCCAGAAGCCCGGCGACAGCGGTTCCTGGATCACCGCCGGCGGCTACCTCGGAATTTTCACGGCCGCCGCAGGTACGACGCGGCACCAGGCCGCAAGACGCGCTGTGGCGTATGGTCACCGCGCGGATCCCGCGGCAATTGGGAGTTTCGAGCCCATGAACACTGTGATACGAAAGATATTTGATTAAATTGATCAGTCTTGACGAGTTCGGGCTGAACTTGCCGTCAATTTGCCTGTGCTGCCCCCATTCCCATAATTCTTCTCCGTCTTTTCGCTTTCCCTCCATCTCAGCGTGGTACGCGTCGGGCGCGTCGTGCTTCAACGCCATGGCGCGTCGCAACGTGCTCTACACGGGCAAGCCGCTCCTCTCCTTCCGCAGCCCCGCCACGCGCGACGACACCAACGCCGCCGAGCCCTAGAAATCTTCGCTGCTCTCGTGCCGAACTCTCGCTTCAAGCAAAGGCTCCGGCGGATGTTGCTGCTGCTGCTGCTGGAGCTGCTGCTTTTTCAGGTCGTTCGATGGCTGTGCATAGCTGTTGCTTCAGCTGCTGCTGTCACCATTACTACTAGCGGTTGTGATGGGGTTGCTCGTGTGGAAGGGAGGGGAATAAGGAAGCAGACGCCGAGGGGTTGGCCAGAGGGTCGCTAGGTTATGGCAAGGAGAGAGGGAAGTGCTGCAGCTGCAGCTATTTTCTAAGAGATATTGGGCCTTTTGTCTGGCCCGCAGCTTGAGTGAATTTGGTTGCTACGGTACTTGTAAATGGTCTTGTTTTGTGTGCCCATAGTGTTTTGTTTCTTTTGTGAAATTTATCAACAGCTGAATATACTCCACCAGACGATAGTAATGAAGATGGGGCAGGAGGTGCAAGGGGATGGGAGGGAAGTGGGGGGATGAGAATGGCTGTACAACTAGAGGAAGGAGGAGGAGGGGATGAGCTCCACTGAAGGAGGAGCAGGAGGAGGGGATGAGCTCCACTGAAGGAGGAGCAGGAGGAGGGGATGAGCTCCATTGAAGGAGGAGCAGGAGGAGGGGATGAGCTCCATTGAAGGAGGAGCAGGAGGAGGGGATGAGCTCCACTGAAGGAGGAGCAGGAGGAGGGGATGAGCTCCATTGTGCTGCTGTGTCACAAGGAATATGGACAGTGACCAGATTTGGAGCCCTGAGTAGGAAAGGTCACAGGTGGCTAAAAGGTGGGGATTGGGGAGGGAAAGGAATGGGATATTCAGACGAGATGAGAAGAGAAGGAAACAGTGGCAATGTTGTGTTGGCAGGAATGGTGGCGAGAAAGGTGGGCGGGGTGGAGGACATGTGAGGGAGGATAGGGTTGGAGAGAAGGGGAGGAGGAGGGGGAGAGAGAGCTGTGGAGTGGGATGGGATGGGGATGGTTACAAAACGAGGGGGGAGGAGGTGGATGGGCTAGGTACTGTGGGATGGATCTATACAGGCCATGTACTATGGTACGGTAGTAACATTAGCACATCCTGCAGTGCTACCGTAGCTGGACCCTACAGTAGTCGTCGTGCCTGTGCCATGCTTCACTACATTAGAGACTGGTACTACGGTACTACCGTACTGTTACCATTGGAGGCAGTGCTCTGTGCAACAGCCAGGATGCAATGGAGTGGCAAGTTGGCAGCCACCCCTTGGAAGCAACACTGCTGCCTTACCGTAAGTTCAAACCCAGCACCTACAAATCTATGTGCGTACTAATCTCGTCTAAGGAGAATGGGGCCGCTTGTGCAGAAACAGCCACACGCAAATAAATCAACACGATTCAAGCCCAAAGCCACCCCCCTTCCTGTCACCATTCCTCCGAATGCCACCTTCGCAACAAGACAGATAAACGAATCACATTCTCACGAGCAGCCCGCCCTTATGTGGGACGACGAATGGGGAAACCAGTCGGGCTGTGCATGCAGGTGCTGCCTACGTGCGCGACCCCTTGGACTTGAGTGGGAGGCGCTTCATGGATGGAGAGGAGCTGAGCAGCAGCGCTGGCACCGAAGACGGCATGCTCACCATCTCCCCCTCCCATCCATCCCCCTCCACATCCTCCCCTCTTCCCCTCCCTCCTCCACCTCCTATGCCTCCTCCCCCACCGCTCCCTCCGTTCATGCCCACGCGCTTGCCGGCAGGAGCAGCAGGGAGCGGGGACGGGGAGAGCAGCGCGAGGGGCTGCATGCGTGGCGCGGCGGAGAGCTGGGGGAACTCCTCGCCCTTATTCAGTGCAGGGGGGACCGTGGGAGTGGCGCCTGGGGGTGCTGCCAGTATGAACCCCGTCACCACTGCCTCCTCCTCGTCCTCCTCATCCTCGTCATAGTACCCACCCCCGTTGTTGTCACGCGGGGAATAGTCACCCTCCCGCCTGCTGCTCGGCGCGCCCCCGCCGCCTCTCCTCACGCTGCCGCCGTTGCTGCTGCCGCTGCCGCTGCTGCTGATGGCGCCGTCGGCGGCGGGGGTGAGGCAGGAGGGCAGGCGGAAGGAGGGCGTGATGCGCGCACGCGAGCGGGCGATGGCGCGGCGCCGCTTGCTGAGCTTCCAGTTGGGCAGGTCGGGTGCGGGCTGGGGGAGGGGCGTGGTGTCGTTCACGTGCTGGAGCACCCACGGGTGCTCTGTGGTAGGGGTGAGGTGTGGATGGGGATGGATGGGGTTGGGGTTGGGGTTGGGGTTGGGGATGGGGATGGGGATGGGGATGGGGATGGGGATGGGGAGGGAGGGAGGGAGGGAGGGAGGGAGGGAGGGAGGGAGGGAGGGAGGGAGGGAGGGAGGGAGGGAGGGAGGGAGGGAGGGAGGGAGGGAGGGAGGGAGGGAGGGAGGGAAGGATAAGGGAGGTAGACAGACAGCATTGATCAACGTCGACCGAGATCCAAAGAGCAAATGCCCAGTATTCCAAGAAAGTATATTTGTATGGTTGAACCCACCCCCTACGCTGCACTGGCCTCACCCAGGATGATCCCACCAGGATTCAACCCATACCCACCATACTGCACTCCACCTCCACTCCCCCAAACCCCAACCCCCACCCCCCTTTCCCATCTGCCCCCCGTCCGCACGCACCGAGAACCCCCTGCACAGTGATCCTTTCCTGCACGTCCAGGCACAGCATGCGGCGCACCAGCCCCGCCGCCTCGCGGCTCACATGCACCCACGCGCCCGACTGCGTGTCCACGGCGCCCCTCAGAATGGCCTGGTAAACTCCGATATCAGTGCTGTGCCAGAAGGGCAGGCGCTGCGAGAGCAGCGTGTAGAGGATGACGCCCATGCTCCACACGTCCACCTCCAGCCCGTACCGCCCCTCTAGGACCTCTGGGGCTATGTAGAACGGGCTCCCTGCGTACCCCCGCATGCGCTGGCCTGGTGGGGGTCAAGTGGGGGACGGGCAGGAGGAGAGGGTTGTGAGTGGGGAGAGGGGGGACAATCCGGTTTGAGTGGGAGTGATTGAAGGCTGGGATACACTGGGGCGATGTAGGAGGGTCTGCTTGCGCACCCATGCATGCGCTGACCTGGTGGGCGTAGAGTGGAATGGGGCAAGGATGGTAGCACGAGCATGGAAGGGAGGGGAAGGAGGAGTTGAGAAGGCAAGCGTGTGAGAATCGAAGGATTGTTCTTTTTCCTTTTCGAAAACGGGTTACTCCGGGGGGGTGTTGTAGCAGCAGAGACCTGATGGGTGGTGACCAAAGGTGAGGGAGAGGGGGGTGGTTGAGGGTGAGAGGAAGCGCGGAGACGAGGAGAAGGGGGATTGACATTAGGAGAATCCGAGAACAGTTACTCTGGAGCATTGTAAAAGGGGCATGAGGGAGGATGGGGGGAAGGTGTGGCACAGGGCAGGGAAGGTGTGCTTAGACCAGAAGGCATGAATGAACCAAAAACGAGAGCCTTAGTCACATGTCAGCACACGCACAGATTGCACCCACCCAGGTCCATAAAGGATTGGGCCTTGCAAGCCTCCTGTGATCAAAGTCACACACTCATTCCCATGCACTTATACCTGGGCACAGCCCTGCCCTGCCTCTCCTCTCCTCGCTATCTCGCTCCCCCCTTCCCATCAGCCCCAACTCAACACGACTCGACTCCAACACTTGGGCCCTCCCCCCTTCCATTCGGCCCTCCCCACCCTCTCCACAGCAACCCTTGTCCCAGCTACCACCTCCCATCTCCCGTCCACCGCCCCCACCCGCATGTCTCACCGGCAAGGTTCAAAATTACGGTTTTCGTAAAATACGGTCCGTTTTATACGGTCGTTATTTACGGTGATTTCTCAAAAAAACGGTCGTTTTTTTGTTAGAGAACTCTGTTCACCAAGAAAAAAAAGAGAAAAACAAGGCCAAAAACATTTTCAATCATGCCAACAAGCGCATACATGCAAGAAGGGGTCCGTCCCCTTCATGCTGCTGCATTTCGGGTTCAATTTGGTCCCACTAAGTGGCCGTTTTGTTAGTTAAACAGGAAACACCTCCTGGAACCGTTTTAAACCGTTTTTTACGACCGTATTTTACGATACCGTTTTTTACGGTAAATTTTCAAAAAAACGGTCGTTTTTTTAAACCTTGCTCACCGGGGTGCACGAAGGTGGAGATGCCAAAGTCAGCAACACGCAGGTCCCCGAGGGGCCCGGCCTTGGAGGCGAGCAGCACGTTCTCGGGCTTGAGGTCGCGGTGGCACACGCCGTGCCTGTGGCACAGCGCCACCGCGCTCGCTATGCTGTGCGTCACACACGCCGCCTGCCGCTCCGAGATGTGCGGCGCACTGTTGATGTGGGAGAGCAGGTCCCCCCCGGAACACATCTCCATCACTAGGTGCACGTCCTGCTCATGCGCGCGTTTTGGGGAGGAGGGGAATTTTGTGGTGACTGGAAAGCATACAAATTGCGGGATAAGACAGGACTTGTGAAGTCGTCAGTTGTTGATGTGGGAGAGCAGGTCAGCACCGGAGCACATCTCCATCACCAGGTGCACGTCCTGCTCATGATGCGCGTGGGGAGAAGGGCGGCGGTGGGACGAGGGCGGCAAGGCGGGATAGAGAAGGCTGATCCAGGAATAGGTAGGATCCAGGAAGGGAGAAGCGATCGTTGTGCAGAGAGGGAGGCAGGGAGGAAGGGATGCGAAAGAAAGAGCGAAGGATGATAGAGCAGCAGCACGACTGGTAGCGCGATACACTTGCAAGCCCCTTCCCTTCCTCACTCCCCCCCTCTCCCTCTCGCTCCTTCTCCCTCCCTTTCAACCCTTTCTCCTCCCCCTGACGGTCTCACTCACCTGAGCATCCTCCAGAGCCTCATGCAGGGACACAATGTTAGGGTGGCCCTTGACGCGCTGCATGACATCCACCTCCACCAGCAGCGCCTCCACCTTCTTGGCGTCCCCCAGCGTGCTCTTCGCGATCGACTTGCACGCGAACCGCTGCCGGGAGCGGCGCTCCACGCATGCGCGCACCACCACGCCGCTGCGCCCCTCGCCGATGCGCTCGCCCACCTCGTACCGCCGCTTCAGGTCCGTCAGCCCGTTGCCCAGCAGCCCCCGCTCCTCCTCGCCTCCTCGCAGCATGTTGCCCCAGCTGCGCCCCCTGCGGTGCCCGCCCTTGCCGCTGCTGTTGCTCGTGGTGCTGGTGTTGTTGTTACTGCTCGTGGCGGTGCCGCCCGCCGTGCTGCTGCTGCCGGTGGTAGTGGTGGTGGCGGGTGCTTTTGATCCGCTGTCAGCCTTCGCCTGCTGCTGCTGCTGCTGCTGTTGCTGCGACTGGTGATTCGTGCTGATCCCCCCGTAGCTGCTGCTGTCTTGCTGCAGTGACCCTGCACCAGCTGCTGACATGCTCCCACTGCCTGCGCTTGATCCCATTGCCCCCCTACCACCCCCTTCCCCCCTCCCTTCGCCTCTCACCCCACCTATCACATCGCCACTCCCACCACCACGTGAAACACCACCAGCAGCACCTGCCAGACTACCCCCCTCAGCTCCTCCCCCTCTCTCTGCCGCCATGCCAGCCTCTGCTGCCTCACGCACGCCCTCTCCACTTCCCTTGCCGCCTCCCACCGTGCTCTCACTGCCACCCCCACTGCTGCTCTTGCTCCTGCTGCTGCCCTGGCCCCTCCCTACGCCTCCCACCACCCCACCGCCACGCTCCCCTGACGCACTCGCAGCAGCAGCAGCAGGAGCAGAGGAGGTAGCGGCAGAGGCAGAGGCAGAGGTAGAGGCAGTTGCAGCAGCGGAGGCAGCGTTGGGTGCAGGGGCAGCAGCAGAGGCGTGGCGGGCGTCCCACCAGGAGGAGTCAAAGCTGGTGTTGGAGAAACGCCGAGAGAACCTGCCCCGACCCGAAAACACCCCCAGCAAACCCCCTCCCGCCTTGCTGCTGCTGCTACCGCTGCCGCTGCCACTTCCAACGGCTCCTGGCGCCCCCTTCTTGTCTCCCTCCTCCTTTGTCTCCTTTGATACAAACCCCTCCCCTTCCCCACCCTGCCCACTCTGCCCACTCTGCCCACTCTGCCCGCTCTTCTCACCCTGCGCCCCCTCCCCTTTCCCCTGCGCGCCCTCGTCTCCCCCCGGGGGCACCCAGAGCCGCCTCAGATCCAGGCTGCGCGCGGATTTCCGCGCCCTGTCCGACAGAGACAGGGACCTCGACGCTGACCTGGACGCTGACGGGGACGCTGACGTGGACCCGCCTGCAGCGTGCAGGGTCGGGGCAGCAGACGCACTGTTGCTGCTGCTGATGTTGTTGTGGTTGCTGCTGGTGTTGGTGGTGGTGGCAGGAGCGCCGGGTGCTGCAGCAGTAGCTGGAGACGAGGAGGAGGACGAAGCAAACCACCACGAGTGGGAGTGCCCCCTGTGCCCACTGCCGCCACCACCAACCCTGCGCTCACTACCTTCCCTTGACTCTTCCCCATCCTTGGCCCCCCCGCTTTCCTCATGCGCCCCCGCATGTCTCACTGTCTCCTCGCCAATCCGCCCGCTCCCACTGGAGCTGCGAGTCCTGCCTGCACGGGCCCCAGTAGTGCTGCTGCTGTTACCGTCACTCGTCCTGCCGCCATCACTCTCGCCACCACTGCCGCCACCCGCCCTCCCACTCCCCCTCTTCCCTCCCATCGCTTGCTTCTCATTCAACCCGTCGCGTCTCTCCTCCCCTGTGACTCCCCCGTTACCCACCCTTGCCGCGCCTTCGCTTTCCCCTGCCCTCCCCGCCTTTCCCCCCCCCTCCCCCACGCCCTCCTCCGACCCAGCATCGCTCTCACTCCACCTCCCCCGACTCCCACTCCCCGCGCCCCCGATCACCCGCCCGGGCGCCCACCCTCTGCTGCTTCCGCCTCCCCCAACTCCCGCTGCTTCCCCCGCGCCTGCGACTGCGCCTGCCCCGCCCGCCTCGTACCTCTCTAGGAAGTTCGTCCGCGCACCAGCGGAAGCGGGCCGTCGCCCGAACGAGAAGTCCCGGTTCAGAAATCCCTGCGCGGTCGCGGCGGCGGCGCCCGCGGCGGGGCTTCCTCCAGATCCGACAGATGCTGCTCCGCCTGATGCCGCGGAAAGTCCCGGCGGGGAGCGGAGAGGAGCTGAGAGAGCGGAAGCTGAGGAGGCGGGGGAAGGAGCGGGGGAGGGCGTGCGGCGGAAGGAGAGCTCGACACCCGTGGCGGAGAGGGCGGGGGAAGGGAGGGACCCGCTCGAGAGGAAACGCGGGCGCAAGCTTGCGCCTGCGGCCGCGGGGGAAATCAACCCAGCGGGGGAGAGCGCGGGCGGGGTCGCGCGCAAGTACGTGGCGGAAATGGGCAGCACGGAGGCCTCCGACGGCCCGCGCTTGTGGCGATTGCGGGGGGTCGGCGGGGAGCGATCATGCTGGGCGGAGATGGGGGAAAGCGGGGAAGGGGAGGGTTGCGCGCTGCGGAAAGGGCTTAAATATGAGTGCGAGTGCGATCTGCTGTGCCGCGGAAACTGATTCGCGTCCGCGTCAGACCCGCCCGCGGATGCCCCTGCGCCGCCTGCATTGCCTCCGCCTCCCCCGGCTCCACCGCGCCCGCCCGACCTGCGCCGGCCGCTGAAAAGCCCCCCCGAGCCCTTGTCAAAGATCGGCTCCCCCTCCGCGCGATCCCAAAACTGCGACGACGGCGATCGCCCAGTCCTGATCGTCCCCGTGTCCGCACCCACACTCCCGCCGCCGCCCGCGCCGCTGGCGCTCACAGGAGCGGCGACTGCGGAGGTGATGGCATCGGCGGGGAGGCGCGGAGTGAGGTCGGATTGCGCCATGAGCAGCCGGTGCATGGCGCCTTGCAATCGCGGGGAAACCACCTGGAACTTGGGCGATCCCGCCATGTGCTGCATTTGCGGTGATATCAACGACCGCGGGCTTCCGCCGCAGCTTCCGCCCCCCGCCGGTCCGCCCAGGCCTTCGCGCGCCACCAATGCCGCTACTGCCGCAGCGGTGAACGGCGTTCCTCTGCCGCCGCTGCCGCTCCCACTCATACCCATCCGCCCGTCGTGGCTACTGCTGAGGACTCTCCCCTCCCGCGCGTCATTCAATACGGCGGCGGGGGAATACGACGCGGGGGACGCGGGAACAAACGACGAGGCGGAGAGAGTAAGCGGAAGGTTCAGCGGGGGCGGTAGGCGCTCGCGGGCGCGCGAGAGCGCAAGGGAGCCCCGCTCAAGCGCAGACGCGAGCGCCGCAGCGGCGGCAGCAGGCGCGGGCGGAGCAGACGAGGAGACGGGGAACGGCGTGGTGTAGGTGGTGGAACGGCGCAGGAACGGCGACGCTTCGTGCGGCGGACTGGAAACGATTCCCCTCGGTCGCTGCTGCTGCTGGTGCTGCTGTTGCTGCTGCTGGCGCGAAAAGAGCGCGTCCAGATTGGGCTGCGAAACCGTGCGACGGTGGTAACGCGACGACAGATACTCCTGCACGTGCCCCCCCCCAACCTCTAGCTCACGCGCCCCCTCCTGTCCGTGCTCCGTGCCTTCCGCTCCCCCATGGCCCTGCGCTCCCCCACGGTTTGGCCCGGCCGCAGAACCTTGCCAATGAGCTACTCCGTCCCGTCTACCGTGGCCATACGTGTCGCGATGCATCATCCCCGTACCCTTGCCGTTCCAGCTACGCTTCCCTTCCCCGTTGTCCCTGACGATTCGTCGCTAGGGTAGATGTCCGAGATCTTCGAGACCTGTAGTTGCCCGTGAATTAATTTCTGCCGGCGACTGACATTTTACTTCAACAGGCGTCCGTCACCAGGTTGTGAAAATTCATGAAAAGCCCTTTGAGCTAAACGAATATGGCAGCACTGGATGACTCATGGGTATCAATGAGAAACGCGAGGGGATGGGGGTAAACAAGCGTAACCTTGTCACTGATGATCTGCAGGCTCGCTGGAACCTTTTATCTAAATTTGAATATATATTAGATACGTGTCTAAAGTCTAGGTGGTTGGGTCGAGTAGGCAGCACATTGCAGCGCAATGCACATGCTGGGCTAGCAAGGACTCCGCCGTAGCACCACAACTGCACGTGTGAACTACAGAAAGCTGGGAACAAAGACGAAAATGATGGTCCTTTTTGCTTACATGAACTTTCAACCTTCTTGACAGGTGCTCCAACACTTGGTGCCCAGGGCCAGTTCATACTTAGTAAGGTGCGGTACGGTGCACAGTGGTCTTCATCGGTCAAATTGATAAATGCTCCCGTCCTTGAATTGACGTACAGCCGTAGAGGAGCCCCAATGAAAGGAATATGACCCGCAAATATTGATTTAGGCCTCGTGTATAAGACTGCTCGACAACCCGTAACCAACAAAATATTGACCGTGGAGAGCTCACCTACAACCTCCAGCATGTATCATCCATGATTTCAGGAGGCACTTGTACCGCATCCACCCAAACTTGATTTCGGGGAATACGCCCCTCAAAATATGCCAGGCATGCGTGCGTGTGCTCTGCCGAGAGGACTTGTTTAGAGCGCGGTACACCTGCTAGGGTTTTAGCGACGATCCTACGGAACAGTTGGCAATCTTAAGCACAGTTGGCAGTCCTACAGAACAGTGTCTTACCTACTTTTGTATGGTCATGATTTTGATGATTTCGATTGGCTATCACTGATTACAATTGTCACTGTGTAGGACACTGTTGTGTAAGATCGGACACTGTTGTGTAAGATCGCCAACTGTTTCGTAGGATCGTCGCTAAAACCCTAGCAGGTGTTCCACGCTCTTATGGTGTGTGTCCAGATCAGACAGCACAGAACCCTGCGTTCATTCAAAATGCTGGAATGGATTGGGCGCATATTTGGTTGCTCCCATGTTTCTGCCATCCAGGATGGCCGAGGAGGGCTGGGTGGGGTGGGGTAAGGGGGAAGGTAGAGAGGTAGCAGCACCCCAAAGCTACTGGACGCGTTTGACAATTTGCGACTGCCTTCAACAGGCTCCAGCGCGTTTTACTTTAGGCACTTGCTAGGATTGGATTACACTCTATGATATCTTCCCTTACTTCTAAATCAAGTAATTTTGCCTGTTTTCTAAGCAGGTCATAACATGTTTAATTTACTGTTTCACTAAAGCACTGAATTTTTTCATTGTGTATAATGCGTTGACCTGAAATAAGATAGTTTATGAAAAACAAAATTGCCTGTATTTTCCATATTTAATCAGGTATGGCTAGCAAAGCGATTCAGGTAACTGGGCACCATGAACAGAATGGATGAAGCACTCTGATTACTACTGTGTTGTACCCAAATACTTTTGTATATACTTCGTTAGAAATACTACCGGTGTACCTTCGAGCGTTTATTGAAATCGAGTTCAACGTCAGGCATAGCATAACTCTCAAACTTTGAGGTGCGGTTCGTCAGATCCTCACCGGCCTGACACACTTTCAAACATTCCCGCGCTTTCCTCCTGTTCTGGGACCAATGATCAGGCGCAGCAGTCATACTGCTACATGCCTACGTCTGACCTTTCACGCACATGGATTCCTTCCAACAGCACTCTCACACAAATGCTCTTGCTGATTTCTTTCCATCGCCCTCAGCAATCTGTCCACGAAAAGAGCAGAATCCCCATCCTGCTCAACTGCAACGATGAGTGCCTCTCAGCCGCCAGGAGCAGCCCGTAGGAATTTTGGAAAGCCCAGTGGGATACGGCAGGCTTCTTCCAGCACGACTTACGGATCTACCGCTGACCGTACCAAGAATTCTGACCCGCAGGACAAGGAGAACAAGTCGTCGTTTGAACCGCAGAAGAAGCGAAAGCTTGAACCTTCTAGCAGGATACCAGCAGCTTCAACAAGGACCGCAAGCACAGCTCAAGCAGCGTCACGCCCGCCATTGGCCTTGGTGATTCACAACAGCGATGCCGACGCCAGTCATGATTTATCAACGAAAGTCCGTAAATGCGCAATCTTCGTACTCATTTAATATTTTTCTGGTTATTCTGATGATTATTAACTTACGGCGAAATTTCTCAATTCAGGAACCTCCAATAATCTCGGAACTTTCTGCCGACTCTAAGGACCCATTCAAGGAACACTATGACAACGAAATGGCTATCCTCGCCCGGGCCTACCCAAAATTGGGAAAAAGGCCTGCTGACGTAAGTGACATTCTTTCGGCGTACCCTTGTAAACGCATGTGGATCTTCATGACGTCGTTTACATCCCATTTGGTTCAATAACATTCCTGTGTTCGTGTCTCGCAGAATGCGAAGAGATGCGAGTACCAAAAGGAATACATTCGTGATCTGAAGGCATGCATCAATGATGCGGTAATATCGTACAAGTTGAAGCTGATCGCAGGTAAGCAACCATTTAAAGGTTATCTCGTGTTTTATTTCGTGTTTCCTATAGTGTCACTATACTGACTGACTTCTTTCGCAGAGGTCGAGCTTGAAGAAGAGAGTCAACTGAGGCATAGTGCAGAGGAAGGTTTGTCGGTAAGTAAAACCTTGTAAATCCCGTGCTTTGTCGCGTTCCACCTCAACAATGAGTTATGCTCATGTGTTATGTTTCTGGATCAAGCAGGTGTGGAAGCAAAAGGCAGAGAAGCTTGCGGGTTCTGAAGTGGAGTTGAAAGCTCGACTGGAAGATGCTGACAAAAAAATCTGCAAAATTTCGGGCGAGGGTACGTTTTCATGTGGTATTGTTGTGTTCATTCTTCACCACCAACAGCTCAACTCGTCTTAACGTCGTTAATCTCGTTTTTGTATTCTCAGCCGCACAGTTGAAGGCGACCTGTGAGAACCTCAAAATTGAAAATGGTCAGCTTGCGAAGAGGTGCAGTGACATTGCAATCGAAAAAGACGCGCTAAGCGAGGTATTGAAATCATATTTTTTTTCTTACATTCACCAGTTTCTGAAGTGCAGCTTACACACGCATCCTTGATGTGTTCTTGCAGGACGTTGAACAGAAGGAGAAAGACCTTCTTGCCTTAACCATGGACCGTGATGAAAAGGTCAAGGAACTTGGTCTGCTTCGTGCTGGCAAATTGGAGCTCGAGCGTTCCGTGGACTCCTTGAAGCTTTCTATGCAAAGCGCCAACGAGAGGTTGGAAGAGGTAAGTGTAAAACGTTTTGGACAGTCTATGCTCTTTGACCTCTTTCTGACTCATGCCCTGGTTGCGCGCTGCAGGTGAAGTCAAGGCTTCTGGATTCTGAAAAGCTTCTCCAGGAAAAAACGAAGGAACTGTTTGACCTGAACGTGGTAGCTGCCACACTGAGGTCCGCAGCCGACGAAAGGTCGGCGGCCACCGATACGGTGCACTCCATGATGAAGGATCAGGTATCTGATGCAGCTCCTTTCTACGATAGTTGATTCTTGGTTGATACACGAGCATTAAGTACCACGTCTGTGCGGACCAACCTTTGCAGATTGACAAACTCACGAAGGAACAGGAGGAAAATAAAAAGGCCATCGACTTTCAACGGGTACGTCACTTGACCTGTACCTTTTCTACGTTTTTGCGTAAATCAACTACTGATCTTGCGTGTCTCAACGCAGAATCTGATCGGTCAACTGACTGGGGAGGTTACTGCGAGGAGAGTGGAAGTCGATCAGAAGGAAGTCGAGTTAAAGAATCTGGAGGTATGCATTCACTTCAGTTTATGCTTTGAATGAGACAGGTCAGTCGCCATCTCATTATGCGTCTGGCTCTCTCGTCTTGTGCAGGGGATATCACAGAGTGAATGTGATCTCAAGGCAGAGATCACAAGGCTGAGGCGCGAGTTGGCTGAGAGGGAGCAGCTTTTCCGTAAGAAGGATCTCCTGCTGCAAGAGATGGAAAAGCGAATGAAAGTCCTCCACAACCGGCTCATGGTATGGCTCTTGCTGTATCCACAAGCTTTTTCTATTGCTTCCATCCATCTGAGGCTCACTTAAGTTTCTGTGTGGCTGCAGTTGATGAAAGGGAACATTAGGGTGTTTTGCCGTGTTCGTCCCCTGAGTGCGAAGGAAGGAGAAAGGAATCCTGCTGCTATGGCTGTACGGATTCCCGAGAACAACATTGACAACAAGATCGCGGTTCAAGGTAGGCCACTTCTTCTTTAGCACCAAGTCTCTTCAAGGTAGCCTCTTCGCGTCATAAGTCTCTTTTTCTGACATCAAATCTGTCATGGCTGATCAGGGCATGAAGGAGATTTCAAGTTCGACAAAGTTTTTCCGCCTGATACGACTCAGACGGTTGTGTTTGAAGAGATCGCTGATCTGGTTACTAGCGCATTGGATGGCTATAAGGTAAGAAGGGGGAATGTGGTTAACCTGTCCGTCAGTCAAGAATCTCCTGACCGAGTTTTTATGGTGTTTTTTTCAGGTGTGCGTCTTTGCGTATGGCCAGACCGGCTCTGGGAAAACTTTTACCATGTTTGGGGACACCACAGACGAGACACTTCGTGGAGTTATTCCGAGATCTATGCAGCAGATATTTCTGGTCAGCCGTGAAAAGTTCACCATGGGCTGGGAATACACCATTCAGGTGCGCCCATGCATCTGTTGTTTTTTTGTGGTTCTGTGCAACGTGCAGCAACTGAACATTAGTTTCTGGTATCCTGCAGGTCTCCCTCCTCGAGATCCACAACGAGTCCATTCGCGACCTGTTGAAAGGATTCCACAACGATGAAGAGGCTACAAGCTCGAAGCCTGAGAAGGGAAGTGCGGCGGCCAAAAAGGCAGAGCTTTCTCTCTACAACATCATTCACGAAAAGGATGGCAGTACAACAGTGCTTGGCCTCAAAGTAGTCACCGTGCAGTCTGTGGAGGATGCAGCTGAGGTTTTCGCTTATGCACACAAGAAGAGGTATGGATGATGAAAGCTTGCTTGCCGATTTTGCACTCCTGTTCAAGCAAGATGTAATCAGTTTGATATTCTTTTTTTGCAGGTCTGTTGGAAGGACAGACATGAACGAGGAGTCGTCACGTAGTCATGCGGTCTTCACCCTCAGGCTGAATGGCAGGAATCGGGTGAGTGTTTGATGTAACTCAAGTCTTGCAGCACGTTTGGGTAAAACTTGTGACAGTTTCCAAGATTAACACTTCTTTTCCCTATCAGGACACTGGAGAGACGACACATGGCATCCTCAACTTGATTGATTTGGCAGGAAGTGAAAGACTTAAGAAGTCCAATGCAACAGGATCGACACGGACAGAGTCCATTGTAAGCAAGTCCTTTTCGTTGACAGATTTCAATCTTGTCACCTTACCTCCACTTTTTATTCTCCCTGTTCATCCTCTTACCCCCCTCGGATGATGTGAATTATAATTGTATTTGTAATTATATGACTCTCCTGCCATATGCCACACCCACCTTCAGGCGATCAACAAGAGTTTGAGCTCCCTGTCCCACGTCCTAGAGGCAAGAGCTAAGGGGGAACTGCCGCGCTACCGTGATGGGAAGTTGACCTACCTGCTCCAGGTATTGTCTTGAAGCTTTGTACTCCAAAGCATGTGGTGTTCCATATCTGTCTCCTAATGCGTATCACTGACCCTGCAGAAATCAATCGAGAAGGAGTCAAGGACCCTCATGTTCCTCAACATATCACCGGACTGCTCATCAACTGATGAGACCTTGGGGTCACTCAAGTTTGGTGCGATGGTCAATTCGTGTGACCTTGGAGTTGCAAGCCGAGACATTCGAAGTGTGGATTCTGAAGCTGAGGAACGACAGAGGCGCAGCAGCACCAGCATCAACCATGGTGGCAAGAAGAATGGCTAGTTGACTCTCAGCCATTTCAAGTGGGGTTACTGCAGCACATCAGCTATGAGCATTATCCTGATGCCTGACAACGTCACCGAGCTTTTAGAAGCTGTTAGGAGGGTATATATTTCACACGATGCTAACCTTTAGACTACTGGAGATCTGAACCTCAGTAACTAGGATCTGAATAAGAGGTTAGGTTACAAATAGTTGCTGCAGAAATAACTTATTTTCTGCCCAGCTTCGATCAAAACCTGTGCACAGCCTCATAGGCAAGTACCGTATATCACTTTCTCAATCTAAATGGAATCGTTTTCCCAAGTGACCAAGTCCCCGTACTTGGAAACCACTCGCAGATTATGTAGAAGCATCTGCTAACAAGCACATTTCGTTACAACGAGTACATATCCTATCAGTTCATGATAGCCATGGAAAAACTTTAGGCGATGATGGGAGCCGAGCTGTAAGAACCTCACACCCTGTTTCTGTCACCTGGACCATTGGCCAAAAGTGCCGTAAGTGTCGGGGAGGAGTTGGAGAGAAGGAGAGGTACGAAGGTTTTGAAAGAAACAAAACGCTTTGATTCAATGCCAACACAAAGTGAATGCATTCACAAAACGTTCCCGCTAAGTGCTTGCCCTTCATGGTAGATCCACATGCAAGTCACATAAGGTCAGCTCACCAGCATGGTGTGCTCAAACTGTGCACTTGGTGAGCCATCAGAAGTAACTGCTGTCCATCCATCCGGCCACATGCGATCCTTCCATCCACCTAAGTACACAGAGAGGAGGGAGTGAAGGGGAGAAGGAGAGGGGGGGAGGGAGGGAGGGAGGGAGGGGAAAGGGAGGGAGGGAGGGAGGGAGGGAGGGAGGGAGGGATGGAGGGAGGGAGGGAGGGAGGGAGGGAGGGAGGGAGGGAGGGAGGGAGGGAGGGAGGGAGGGAGGGAGGGAGGGAGGGGAAAGGGAGGGAGGGAGGGAGGGAGGGAGGGAGGGAGGGATGGAGGGAGGGAGGGAGGGAGGGAGGGAGGGAGGGAGGGAGGGAGGGAGGGAGGGAGGGAGGGAGGGAGGGAGGGAGGGAGGGAGGGAGGGAGGGAGGGAGGGAGGGAGGGAGGGAGGGAGGGAGGGAGGGAGACGGAGGGAGGGAGAGGGAGGGAGGGGAAGAGGGTTGCAATGCTTACAACGAAGTATCGAGTAAGATCATGTGACCTCTTGAAAAATAGCGCACATACCCGCATTGATCATGGGCTCGATGGTGAAAATCTGGCCCGCTTTCATGAGACCCACGGCCTTGTTCTCTGCACGTACCGCAATGTAGGGACACACATGGCAATGAATGCTCACATACGGCAATGAATGCTCACATACGGCAATGAATGCTCACATATAGCAATGAATGCTCACATATATCAATGAATGCGCACATATGGCAATGAATGCTCACATATTGCAATGAATACACAAATATGCCAATGAATGCGCACATATGGCAATAAATGCTCACATGTAGCAATGAATGAGCACATGTGGCAATGAATGAGCACATGTGGCAATGAATGAGCACATGTGGCAATGAATGCGCACATATGATGTATGATGCATGAGGCATGAGGTACGCAGGATGGGTCACTCACTGGCATAGTGGGGAATGTTGGGCGCACAGTGAAATAGCTCTCCTATGCCGTGCCCACAGTACGTACGCACCTGACAACAACCAAGACACACACATAATAGGCAAGACACACACAAGAGACAAGACAAAAACAGGAGACAAGTCAAAAACAGGAGACAAGACAATCGCGATAGACAAGAATGTTGGTCACTGCTCACTGCTACTTTTATGAGCATCTCTCACTTCGCCTCACTGACCATGCCCTTGCATGCTGCTGCTCTGCTTTATACCAGTGACCGCTGGGCATGGTTTTGGGGTAACACGGAAACACGCGTCGAATTGTAAAGGAAACAAACAAGCAAGCGCATGCATGCAAGGGAGGAGGGGTGTGGTGAGAGCAAGTCCTGTAAAGGTGTTCCTTAGCATGTGCCCACTCGTGCATCCACATGCGTGTGCGTGCGTGCTGTCGCATTTGAAAGAGCATTCGCGCTGCAGCAGCCAGCTGCCTATTCACAGCCATGTTGCAACCTCAGTTACAGCCTATGCTTGCTGCTGCTGCTGCTGCTGCTGCTGCTGCTGCTGCGGCAGCAGCGGGGAAGGAAAGGGGGCGGCGACAGCAGCGAGACTGACCACGGAGAGACCAGCTTGGGCAGCATGACGACTGATCACCTCCCCCACCTCCCGAAACCGCACCCCTGGCTTCACTGCAAGCATGGATGGAGAACAGGGGGATGGGGTGCCATGGAGGCACGAGTACTGAGGCGTCTCAAAACAACAATTCTGAGACTTGATACATCTCAAAACCTTCCGAAAATGAACCCCTGGCTTCACTGCAGGGTTAAAAAAAGAGGGGGATGTGGTGGTGTGGAGGCACGGGAGGGGGAGGAGAGGCGGAGGGAGGATGGAGGGAAGAAGCGGTATGCATGGGGAATGGTGGGGAGGGAAAGGGGAGAAGGGATGGCAGGAGAAAGGACGAGAGTAGTATGTGGCAGGAGGGACAAGGATGGCATCATGGCAGCAAGGGGGTGATGATGTGCTACCTACCTACCAGAGAGATGGGAAAAGAAGAAAGGGGCATTTGGGTGGCCTGACTCGTGCTTGCATGTGCGGGCATTTTAGTGAGTGTGCGCTATGCATGAGTGCAGGAGGGCCAGTGGAGAAGACGGAGAAATAACAAACATACACACACACGCGCGCGCGTGCACACAGACACACACACACACACACACGCACGCGCGTGTGCACACCCAGGCACGCAGGCACGCACGCACGCACGCACGCACGCACGCACGCACGCACGCACGCACGCACGCACGCACGCACGCCCGCGCGCGCGCGCGCGAGCCCACACACGCACACGCACACGCACACGCACACGCACACGCGCACACACACACACACACACACACACACACACACACACACACACACACACACACACACACGCACACAATAAGGTCGTTGTTGCATACCCATGGCAATGGCCTTATCGAGGCACTCCATAGTGGTGCGCACGAGATGTACGGACGCGTCACTGGGCGTGCCCACAAAAAAGGTCTCGTTCAAATCACCTGCCATGCCCCATGCCCCGTGCACCATGCCCCGTGCACCATGCCCCGTGCACCATGCCCCGTGCACCATGCCCCATGCACCATGCCCCGTGCACCATGCCCCATGCACCATGCCCCGTGCACCATGCCCCGTGCACCATGCCCCGTGCACCATGCCCCATGCACCATGCCCCGTGCACCATGCCCCATGCACCATGCCCCGTGCACCATGCCCCGTGCACCATGCCCCGTGCACCATGCCCCATGCACCATGCCCCGTGCACCATGCCCCATGCACCATGCCCCGTGCACCATGCCCCATGCACCATGCCCCGTGCACCATGCCCCATGCACCATGCCCCGTGCACCATGCCCCATGCACCATGCCCCGTGCACCATGCCCCATGCACCATGCCCCGTGCACCATGCCCCATGCACCATGCCCCGTGCACCATGCCCCATGCACCATGCCCCGTGCACCATGCCCCATGCGCCATACACAATGTGCCATGCTCCTCGCCCCATGTGCCATGCACAATGTTCCATGCCCACCCACATGCACCATGCCCCGAGCACAGCAAACGATGCACAGGAACAAGAGCCCATGAGACACAAAGGAGTGACAATGAGCAACTGCGAGGCAATGTGCTGCCACAGCATAACCATCGAGGACCATCATGCCACATCATGACACATCATGACACATCATGACACATCATGACACATCATGACACATCATGACACATCATGACACATCATGACACATCATGCTACGCTGGAATTTCCACTTGGGCAGCACAGCATGGAATAGACTGCCAGGGAACGAGTTTCAGACGCCTCGAGAATGTGGGAGCAGGACGAAGGGAAGGTGGGAGGAAAGCGGGATGGGAGGAAGGTAGGGCAGACGGGCGGGCAGGCAGGCGGGAGGACGGGTGGATGATGGGTGGGTGGGGGGGAGGGCGGGCGGAATGGGGAGCAGCACACCATGGCAGCCGTTGAGGTAGACAGTGACGTCCACGTTCACTATGTCCCCGTCCTCCAGCTTCCTGCTCACACCATGCAGCGCGGGAGTGAGGATGAGTTGAGAGCGGTTGAGACGGGTGCTGGGAGGTGAGGCGTGGTGGCCATCGTACGATGCGTGGGTGAATGGGGGTGAGGGAGTGAGGATGAGACACCCCCCCCTAAATGGGTGAACAACACAACATCATACACCATGCCATGGAATGAAACCGAATCACACGACATGGCAAGGCATGGCATGGCATGGCATGGCATGGCATGGCATGGCATGGCATGGCATGGCATGGCATGGCAAGGCAAGGCATGGCATGGCATGGCATGGCATGGCATGGCATGGCATGGCATGGCATGGCAAGGCATGGCATGGCATGGCATGGCATGGCATGGCATGGCATGGCATGGCATGGCATGGCAAGGCAAGGCAAGGCATGGCATGGCATGGCAAGGCAAGGCAAGGCATGGCATGGCATGGCATGGCAAGGCAAGGCAAGGCATGGCATGGCATGGCAAGGCAAGGCATGGCATGGCATGGCATGGCATGGCATGGCATGGCATGGCATGGCATGGCATGGCATGGAATGGCATGGAAGAGCAGGATGAGGCGTGGAGCTTGCCTGCAGTCCGGGATGCCATGGCACACCACCTCGTTCACCGACCTGCACGCCAGCACCACAGGGGGCAGGAGGTAAGGGGGGCGGATGGAGGGGGGTGTGGTGGGCGGAATGGAAGTGGGGGAAGGAGAGCGTGCAAGAGAGGGGTTAGACGGAGGACAGAGCAACACCATGGGAGCTCAGATGATCATGCTTGCTTCTGGTGCTTGTCTGCTCCCAGAGCAACACCTCATGGTGGTGCGATCATGAGCTCAGAGTTCTGCTTGCCCTCTAATCCCCAATTCTTTCCTCCCTCTCTGTACCTCTCCCTCTCTGTACCCCTCCCTCTCTGTACCCCTCCCTCTCTGTACCCCTCCCTCTCTGTACCTCCACTCGCTCCCACTCCCCCCCATCTCTCTCTATCGTACAAAAGCGCATACACGCACGCTTGCGAGCGCACGCGCACACACCACACTCGCGAGCATGTCCTGGAGGGGATCACTTGTCATGAGGCATCGGAAAGAGCGAGCACGTACGTGCAGCAGGACTTGGGAAAGAAGTAGTAATTCAGGGGCGACGGGTACCCGCCTGCACACATCAAACCACACGGGCAGGAGGGCAGTGGAGGCATGGGGGAGGAAAGGGCTTTGAGACGCCTCAGAAACAGTAATGGAGGAGGGATTTTTGAAAATGTCACAAAGGTAGACGCCACGTCAGAAGTCGTAGGTGGCGTGACGTATAAGACGGGCGTGACTTGTGATGCTCCTGCCCCCTGCATCTTCTCGAGTCGACTAAAAAGACAGCAATTGCCTGTCCTCACTTGCAGATTCCTTCTTCCTAGTCAACTGTCTACTCCATGCCACGCCACACCACACAGCACCACACCCCACCGCACCACACCACACCGCACCGCACTCCGCCCCATAACAACAAGCGGTCTTGCCCCCTTGTCCCACCGGCCTTAATGGTGGCGTCATGCACGGCGCGGTCGATCTCGTCCGTGGTCACCCCCGGGCGGATCATTGCTGCTGCCACGTCCAACACCTCTCGAGCCACCTGCAAGCACACGCAGGGCCAGGCGCGCAACAGGAGCATGGGGGAGCGGCATGGGGAAGGGGCAGGGGTAGGAAGCGTGGGGTAAGGGCGTATCATTGCTGCTGCCACGCCCAGCACCTCTCGCGCCACCTGCAGGGGCACATGCAGGGGCGCGCAACAGGGCCAGGCAGGTTCCAAAGGGGCACGGGTCGGCGGACAGAGGGGTAAGCGGCAGTCAGAAGCAGGACGGTAGGGGTCCGGTTTGGAGGCGGTTGGTGAGAGGAGGAGTAGGGTGCAATGGCGTGTGTGAGGTTGCGAGCTGTACAGTACAGGGGCATGTCGGAAACGGCCCACAACTTGCAAGAGTGCGTGTGAAGGAGTGCGTGGGATTGGCAGCGAGAAACAAGAACGGGGCAGGGAGTTTACATGGACTTACCTTGCATGTATGCCGCATTCTTGCTATTTGCTCTGGCGACTTGATCTGCACACACACAGGCACACACACAGGCACACATCCAAACACGCACAGCAACCGGTGCACGATTGACTTTAGGGAGGAGAGCAGTGTGGGCGAGGGAATGGGATCGGGGAGGAGTGGCCAGGACTGAGAAGGGGCAGCATCAAGTCACGGATCTTGAGGCGCGTAACAAATAGTGATGCGGGAAGAGTGAAGGGAGAAAAGGAGAGGCAGTGGAATAATGGCACGATTGAGAAACACAGTGCTGCGGGAGGGTAAGACACGGGGGAGAGAAGGGGGGGGGGGGGGAGGACGGAGGGTGAGGGGGAGGGAGAGCGGGAGGGAGAGGGGGAGGAAGACGGGGAGGGATAAGGGGAAGAAGAGGGAGAGGGGGAGGAATATGGGAGAGCGAGGAGGAAGGGAAGGGGAGGGGGAGGGAGTGGGGGAGGGAGAGCGGGAGGGAGAAGGGTAGGGCGAGAGGCAAGTCACCTCGACGCTGTTTTGCCATTGGCTGTTGGGCTCCTCCTCTGGTCGCCCCTGGGAGGCGCGAGAGAGGAGCGAGTGAAGGAGAGAGGAGGGGGTTGCAAAGAGGAGGGAGTGGAGGTTAGAGGGTGGGGAGTGAGTGGGTGGAGGGCGGTCAAGAGAGAGGGAGAGTGTGCACAGACGGATGCAAGCAAGTGAGAAGCAGGCGAGACAGGTGACATTGTGACTGGCGGGATTGATTAAATGCGCCGTGGGGAGAGGGAGGTAGTGCGGGCAGGGCAGGTGGTGCAAGGCGAGGCATGGCATGGCACGCCCTGGCAGGCCGCCACGTGTGGTAGCGTGCACGCACTTGGTTTGGTCGGTGGTCAACACCTTGTGGGCGTGTGGAATGGACCATGGGACATGCGATATTCAGCTTAGGATATGGGCATGGGCATGGGCATGGGCATGGGCATGGGCATGGGCATGGGCGGCAGCACTCACAGTGTCAGCCCAGTCAGGGCGCGGAATGTGGGCGGGCACGGGGCGCCGCGGGGCCACGGGGAAGGGGCGCAGGGGACTGGGGAAGGGGGAGGACGGGGGGGGAGGGGGAGAGGGGGGTTGAAAGGGGAGCGGAGCGGTGAGGGTGGAGCAGAGTGGAAGGAACGATCGGGGGGGAAAGAGCAGGGGGTGGGTGGATTGGGGTGAGGGGGAAGAGGAGTGAAGGGGGGTTGAGTTGAATGTGTGACAGGGAATGGGAGGGTGAGAGGAGGGTGAGGGGAAGGGTGGAGTGGAGTAGAAAGACGAGTGCAGGTTTGAGTGGGGAGAGGGAAAGGATGCTGATCGTGATGGAACAGGGTTCAACACGGTACAATGTGGTGCAGTGTGATCTACTGTGGCATTGTGGCACGTCAAACCAGCTAGTAACTTTCCTCCACCTTCCTCGTAAAAGGACAGACTTTGCAATTCAATAGCAATTCCACCTGCATATCTTCTCCTTCCGCAATTCCACCCCCCATCCTCCCCTCTCCCCTGTCGCCCACCACCAGCTCCGCCTGCACCGCCCCCCATCCCGCCACACCCCGCTATATATTCCATCCAACCCAAGAAATAGTCTCAATTCGTTAAACCCTGAACCCCGAGCAATCCCAAGGATGCACTCCCTAGCCAGTGCGTCGCAACTCTCGCGCGCGTGGCGCTCACCCGGTCCAGTCGAAGGGCGGCATCTTGGCGGCGCGCGTCTGCCCCTTGCGCAGCACGTACAGCCACCCCTGCTGCAGGAACGGCGCCACCTCATCCCCCTCCCCCGCGCCCCCTGCTACCACCGCGCCCGCGCCCGCGCCTTCCCCCGCGGGCGGCGCCTTGTGCAGCGCCTTGTGGTCCGCCCACGACGCCTTGAAGCACTCCTGCGAGCTGCGGGGACAAGGTGGGGAACGCGCGGGGAAAGGGGGAAACGGGGGGAGGGGGGAACGAAGTGTAGGGCAGGTACAAAACCCTGAAACCTGGCTGGGGGTCGATGCGGCAGTGGCAGCAGCAGCCGTGCGTCATACGGTGTGGCTCCGCATCTAGTTTCAAGTCCATTCGAACGCGCGATTTCCACCGTTGCTCTGCTACTCCCCTAGCCCTCCTCCTCCAGCGCCCCTCTAAGGAAGATCCACCCTTCCCCCCCCTCCCCCCCCCCCCCCCCCCCCTCCCCCTCACCCCCACGCCTTCCCCGCTTTCTCACCCCCATTTCTTTTGCCCCCCTTCATGCCGCTCCCATCCGTTGCCTTCTCCCCGTGTCCCCCTTCACCCCGTCCCCCCTGCCTGTTCCCCCGCCTAGGCTGCCTCCCCCATGGCGTACCAGAAAGAGGCGTTGGTGCGCGGAAGCTTCAGCTCCAGGCACTTGGGGCACCTGGCGGAACGGCGCACGGGCAAAACGCGCACCGGGAAAACGCGCACCGGGAAAACGCGCACCGGGAAAACGCGCACCGGGAAAACGCGCACCGGGAAAACGCGCACCGGGAAAACGCGCACGGGAAACGGCGGGTATGGAAGCGGCGCATGGGAAAAAAGGGCGAAATGGAAGGGTCGAGCTGACCGCGGAAGGGACGGGTGGGAGACGCGGGATAGCATGAGGTACGCGGAAGCGATTCCAAGATGACGAAGTGGGAAGGGGCGACAATGGGGTTGTTTAGGGTTAGCAGACGGATAATCGGGTTAAAATTGCGGCGGGAAACTCATATTTCGTCTAATCGACTGCGCGCAAACTCATTCCAGCCGCGCAGCTCATCGTCCGCCTATTGGACCGCGCGCAAACTCACTGCAGGCGCGCGGGCTTGCTGCAGCGCAGACAGGCCAGCGACTCGATCGGCGCGGCGCCATCGCCGCTCCCATTCGCCTCGTCCATGCTGTGATGCGGATCAATCAGCGCGATGTGCGGAGACTAGGTGAGACTGGATGTGACAAGAGCTGAGAGTGAAGGATGGAAGCGGGTAGTGAGAAAGGGGGCGGGGCGGAGAGGGCGAGCGAAGAAACTTGAGGGGTGGAGTGGAAATGTTGGTGTTGCGAAAACAGACGGACCTCAAGATGTTACGCGAATATTTAGTCAAGTGAGGTGCATATTCTATGTCTGAAAATGAATTTGGATGAATCACAGATATTCCATAAAGCTACATATGTACCGGTAACTATAGATGAAAACAAATCAAACTATATACAATATGCACAAATGAACACAAAAATGTACCACAATAGGCCTCCTATACCCCAAGATTGCACGGTCTTCCTTTGAAAGACTGTGCAACACACACCGATCTCTATACGTTCCACCTTCCACCCTTAAATCCCACCCATCACCACCTCATAGAACCTTCCATCTACTTCTCAACCCCATCATCTTTGTTGTACAGACACCCTAGAAATTGGGGAAGTCATTGGGGTTGAAGCCAGTGGCGTGGTGCAGCAGTGCATTGACGGGCGGCAGCATGGGCTCGTAGATGTCAGTGCGCGTGACAATGCCCACCACCACCCCATGGTCGTCCACCACTGGCAGCCGGTGCACCTGCACTCACAGGACAGGCACATTGGGCAGTCAGCGACACCATGGGACAGACACGCATGGGGAGAGGGCGGTTGGGTGATGCGTTTGGTCACTGGCAGTGTGCTTTGTAAGGGGGAAGCATCAAGAGAGTCACGTAGTTAGCGAACTAGACTGCGATGAGTAGGCCAAGACAGAGAGAGTGAGAGGGATTGAGAGAGGAACAGAGGAATAGGAATAGAGGGAGGGTGAGGGATATAAAGGAATAGAGAGATTGTAATGTAGTGAAGGGAAAAAGAACGGAGGGATAGGAACTGAGAAGAGAGGCAGGTGGCATTTGGTTCTGTTTCCAAGCCTTGAGGGAGGAAGGGATGCGTGGTGGGCAGTACCTTGTGCTTGAGCATGAGCCCCGCTGCGTACGCCACAGGTGCATGTTGCACTATCACAATGGCTGGCGCACTCATGACGTCACTGCACGTAGGCACAGCATGTGAAACAACAGCAGAAAAAGCGTAGAGTTAGTGCAATGTTAAGGTGAGGTGTAGAACCAGGCTTGCCCAGCAAGTCTGATGGGCCTTTCGCCATCAGAAGTCTCCACGGCGAACTGCTCAACTACCAGAAACACCCCTGCACAGCACGGCTATGCCCCTCAAAATTCCCACATGCACACTTGTGCCCACTCGCACGCACGCAGGCATGCAACCCACTCATAACCACACTAGTGCGCTTGCACTCAAGCCCTTCACTTGAGCACACGCGCACACACCCAGCCGTGCTCTCTCACCCCACAGTCACTTCCGCCGCGCTCCTCGCGAGAGCCCCCTTCTGACATCTCGCCACGTCCATGTCCGACACGATGCCCACGCAGTGCCCCTCGCCGTCCACCACGGGCAGCCCCGTGAAATGTTCAAAGTGCCCGAGGATCTCCGTCAGCGGAGCAGTGGCCCCTGTGGTAACTGGCTGCGGGCAGCAACAGGACGGAGAACGGAGAGGAGAGGCCGAAACAATGGTGAGATCTCAGAAGCCGAAAAAAATCCGATCATTTGAAGACTCACGAGAAGGACGTGAAAAGGGAATTAGGACACACGGAGGAGCCGTAGCGGGGCGGTAAAGGAGGTGCGTGGAGGAACTGTTGTGGAAGATGTCAGTTTTGAAGAAAGGTGCGCTCCAAACTTAGAAACGACGGCGAGAAGGATATTAATCGATTACACCATGCGACAAGAACAGCGACAGGGACGGGGACATCAACAGTAAGAAACGGAGCAATCATTCAAATTATTCAGGCATGCCGTTCATTCCGGTTTTGGCGCGGGTGTGTCGGCAGCAGCGCGGTGGGATACGTACGCATGGCGTCATGGCGGACTCGACGGGCGCGTACGGGCTCTCCATCAGCCGCTCTGACCGGTCCACTGCGCGCCGCTCCTCCCGCTCACGCTCCCTCAGTGCCGTCGACTCCGCCAGCGCGCCATTACCCCATTCGACCGCGATGCACGCAGACGCGCTCACGACCTGCCGAAGGCCAGCGGAAAATCCTCGATTTCTGCTTTGGAAGGCCCAGCGTTGCGGAGAGAGGCGGATGCGCGCATGCGGAACAGCGCGCTCGTGCGCGGGCAAGCGGCGGAGGGCGGCGGGAACGGAGGCTTGGGTCGCGCGTAACGCATTGCTGGTGATTGAAGTCGATGCCATGGCCGTGCACTTCTAATTATATCTTTGTATGGATCCCAGTGCTTCAGCGATGTTGATGGAATTTTCCACGATAACCGGCGAAGCTGGTTTCGTGAGTTTCCTGATTCGTCGCAACTTTTTTCTCAAACAGCAGCTAACGTCGCAACTTATGTCCGCGCACTCGTGTATTTGTCAGGAATGTAGGAAAGGAAGACCAAAACGAGGATTCTGACGACCAATATCAGTAGTTACAGCAATTTAGGCAAGACCTACTGCTCCTTTCTCGTCGGCCCTGCAGCTTTGTACCAAATGTGGTTGCTTTGGGAAAGGAAATTGGCGCCACGAAATTGGCAGGGGGGGGGAATTGAGCGATTTGGCTGGCAAGGGGATGATTGCTTGCTGGGTTTGGGGTGAGGGGAGGGGAGTTGGGGAGGAGGGAGTGTGAGAGGGAGGGGACAGGATGAACGGCCTCCTCACTCCTCCCACCCCTCCCTTGTACACCCCACAACCCCCATTCTCTTGTCTCTCGAGTCACCGACGCGCAACTCTACGTTCCTATTTGTGAAAGGAGTTTGAGGCTGCATGTGCACCCGTAGCGCGTTTGGCAGCCACAAGATGGCACCACCTTGACCACGTGCGGCAGAGCCACGCAGCAGTCCGACGTGGAAAAGCAGAAGAAACAGCAGCGATGACCTGTTTGTACGTGTTTACAGGCAGTGGGGCACGTGACTCGTGGAAGTCCACGCTGTCTGTACTTCACTGTACTGTGGGTGGGATGCAATACAGAGAGAATAGGACACAGTGCATTGAAAATCTAAGGCAGATATATTACAATATTTACATCACCAAATTCAGTGTGAATTCGTGCTTACTAGGTTGAACCAACACAGATGGGATATGTCTATATGACGGCCTTCATACGTCACATAAAAAGGATCGGATTTTCATCAAATGGAAATTTTCTATAGATTATTGTATTTATGCCACATGTAATAGTTTTGAATACAGGAAGCATTTGTTTTTATTGTTATCTATACCAATGCACCTTGCACATTGGATGCTTCCAAATCTAGTTATAAGGAAGTGCTTTTGAACTAACCGGAGCTGTACTTGTCAGATCTTACTGTCATGTATTCTTACTGCCACTATTCCCGAGAATCACATCCCAGTATCTGCGCTTCCAACCAAAGGTGGGCCTTGTTTGACGGAGGGGCGGATTTGACGCAACCTGAATTTGACGCAACCGGAAGGGGTCCATTTTCTTTATTGGCTAGTCAACCAAAAGAAGCCATACCATTCGTCGATTTTCTTTCCCCTGGCGGTGTCCCAATTCCCCTGTCTTGCGGCGAGGCGAAGCTTGTTGGTTACTCGGTTGCCCAGCCCACACGACACGATTCGTTCTTGTTTATCTGAATGTTTTCAACTATCGAAGTCCTCCGACCAGCACAAGTCACCTCCTGAAAACACACCTGGCGCGAATTCCACTTCAAGCTGAGCAGGTTGCGGCGGTCAGCACCATTCCACTCCAGTCGAGTCGAGCCCCGTTGAATTGAAATTGCATTCCATTGCTGCGAGGAAATCTGCTTTTGCAGTAGCCTACAGTGCCACCTGGGACTGGGTCTGTTCACCGCCTGCCCGTCAACTCCGCAGGGGAAAACCCCGCCTCCTGCGGGAATGAGGCAGGGTCGCCACTCCCTGCGCTAATTTCGCCAATCCCACTGTCGAACAAATTTTCCTTCCTCCGCTGCGGTGGCGCATTCTGCTGCTAGGTCGGTCCGCAAGCACCAAGAAAAACCTGCTGTGATTGCCTTGGTTGACTCCACCCTGACCGTCAAGTTCGCCCTTGCCATGAGCTTGGCCAGATTGCATTGTCGGCACAGCGCAGCACATCTCAAGCATGCGCTTTTCTCGGACCCTCCTGCCCTCGATTGACGCTTCCCTCGCATCACAGTCATCACCCTCCCGCCAAGTGCAAACACCCACAAACCCATTCCCGCCCACTCTGAAGAAGCAGAAGTTGAGTAAGCAAGAAACCCAATCAACGCCTCATGCGGCGTGTATTCGCTCCGTCTTCCTCGCCTGCCCCGCCGCCAGTCTCTCCTACGTTCAACAGCATACAGTGCCTGCCTTTCTCTCCGTCACCTTGTGCGCCCCTTAATTTCTTCATCGCCTCGTGTCTCATTCGTTGTGCTTCCCTCGCGTCTCCACCTCGTCTCGAGCGACTATACCTGCTTCAGTCTGTCGCCCCGTCCCATCTGTCGGCTAGTTTTAAGTAGTCTCACAACTTGTCCAACCGTGAGAATACCATTTTCGACCTGACGTTTTCTATCCCACCCGCTCTATCCAGCCCTGCCGAACTAAGTCGGTGCAATCCTTACGAGCTCAACCTCTCACGACTCAGCTACCGGAACTAGTTGTTTCTTTTGATTCGAGACGCAGAACTCCGTTGATAAAGGGAAGTCCAATCGGGGCTAAACACAATGGCGGGATTCTTAGAAAGGCTTCACTTTAACCAAGAACGCCCGTAGTTGGTCTCCTCGCTAGTTCTTTCCTCCTCCACGTCGGTAGTCCGTCGGTAGTCCGTTGGTAGTCCCGTCGGTACCCCGTCAGCATTCCGTCAGTGGTCTGTCAATAGTCCTTCGTTAGTGATAGTTTTCCCAGTCCTGCTATTCCCTGGCCCATCTACCTTATCAGACTGCAAATTCAGCCCACAACCTGCTAGAGTGTCACCTGAAGGTCGGACAACTGCCGCTCAAGGGCCCCACGTGTAGGTCCCGTAGCTGCCGCACTGCGCGCCGCTCGTGAAACCTGCGCGATCTCATCTCCTGACGACGCAGATCCGCTGAGCGCACCCCGCACCTCTCCTCCCGTGTCCCGCGCCGCGCGTGCTCCAATGGCGGGCGCCTCGAGAAGAGCCTGTGCCGCGCCGAGCTCCAAGGACCGACCAAGACCAGCGCACGTGTGCGGCTTGGCGTCGCGGTCGCCGTCCCCAATGGCGCCTCTCCTCCTCTCCCTCCTCGTCTTCTCGCTCTGCTGCTCCGTCGCTCACTCCCAGTCGCGTACGCCTTCCGTTTGAACATCACGTTCTCATTTTTTTATAATTCTTGATCCCGCAACTCTTTGATTCCTCCATTCGTTGATCTCGTAACCAATTTTAGGATCCATCTTCGCGCAATTCGTTCCGGTTCCACACATGCTCGCTGCCTCCTAACGACTGCACCCCCCGGTTCCGCCGTTTCCAGAAACAATCCTACCTGCTGATCAGCTCCCAACTACTCGCCCTCGCATGGTCCTCGTCACTCTCACACGGTGTCTTCCTCTCTTTCTCTCTCCCTCTCTCCCTCTCTCCCTCTTCCCCCTCGTCCCTCCCCACCCTCCCGTCTCCGTCGCATGTCCTGACTGCACCATCGGGTCATTCGCCAATCAGCGGCCTTCGTTCCCCGTCGCGCGCTCATCGACGTGCAAATGAGTGCGCCCCTTCTCCCCGCCGCTCGTCTTCTCCCCTCGCGCCATTTCGCCTCTCGTCTTCTCCCCTCGCGCCATTTCGCCTCTCGTCTTCTCCCCTCGCGCCATTTCGCCTCTCGTCTTCTCCCCTCGCGCCATTTTGCCTCTCGTCTTCTCCCCTCGCGCCATTTCGCCGCTCGTCTTCTCTCCTCGCGCCGTTTCGCCTCTCGTCTTCCCGCTCGCTCCCCCTTTGCCCACTCCACTCGCTCCCGCTCTCGCATTCGATTCGCACACGCCGTTGACACACTCCCACCTCTCGCCACTCGTTCCCACTCTTTCACTCCTTCTCACCCACTGCAGCCCTTCTGAACCTCGTCTAACCCTTCCCCACTTCTGCTCCCCACTCAACCCCCCCTTTGATCCCTCTCCGCGCGTTCTCTCCGTGCCCTCCCCGCGCTGCCCCCACTCGTCTCCGCGCGGTGCAGGCGATCAACTGATTCTCACGATCGTGGTGGGGTCGCTCATTGTACTGGCAGTCGCTATTCTCATCGGCCTCTTCGTGTTCTGGAAACCGGCTCCCCCTCCTCAAGGTATTGCCGCTCTTCCTTTTCCACTCAATTCTCCTCTCCCATTTTTTAGTTCACTGAAGAATTTCCGCTCTGACTCTCTCCCCCTTACCCTCGTCCACTCGCCCTTTTGAATCCTTGTCTGCCGCGTTGAAACTTAATTCTCTCTCTTTTTGTGCGTGTGTACCCGTTCGTGCGTGCCCTGACGCGGTGTTCGCCGTTGGCGCGCCGTGCTCTGCAACGCCGGACGCGCAATGCTCTGCTTCGCTCGGCGCGCTTTGATCTGCTGTGCCCTGTCGACGGCGCAGGCAAGTGGAAGCACCACGTGGACGGCCAGCAGAACAAGCCGCGGCGCGTGCTGCGCATCGGGTCGCAGAAGTACACGAGCAGCGCCGCCGACACCGACTTCTCGCTGCCCTCGTTGCCCTTCAATGACATCCAGGTCGCTCCCCCCTCCGCTCTCCTCCCCCCTCCCCCTCTTCCCCCCACCGCTTTCCCCCCAGCCTATCCCTTCACTTCCGAGTGGCTCCCCTGTCTGCATCCTTCCGCCTCGCCATACCTCACTCCTCGCTTCCCCCCTCCCCTCACCTGACCGCCTCTTCCGCGCTTTCCCCTCACCCTCACCCCTTCCCATTCCCCTCTAACCTCCCCGCTTTCCCCCCCCCCTCCCCCTCCCCGCGCGTCTCTCTCCCCTCCCCTCAGATCGCGACGAACAACTTCGACGAGGCGGGAACGATCGAGGCGGCGGGGTACAGCAGCGTGCATCGCGGCGAGGGCCCCGACGGGCGCGCGTGGGCCGTGAAGCGCGCCAAGAAGGTCTCCATCGAGGGCTCGCACCTCTTCAAGAGCGAGGTGCGCTTCGACCTCGCGCCGTGATCGCGCCTCTTTCGATTCTCGATCGCGCCTCGCGCTTCGGCTTGGACGCACGTCGTCCGATCCACCAGTCCGCTCCCTTCCCTCCAGCCCCGCTGCCTCTCTCCCTCCCGCACTTCCGCCGTCTCATCCCCCCTCCCCTATCCTTCCCCCCTGCTTCCCCCCCTTTCCCCCCCCGTGTCGCAGGTGGACTTTCTGTCGCAGGTGTCGCACCCGAACCTGCTGCAGCTGCTCGCGTTCTGCGACGACAACAACGAGCAGATCCTCGTCTTCCCCTTCATGGCCAACGGCGCGCTCAGCACCTGGCTCCGCCCCTCGCCCGGTGCGCTCCTTCCCCCCCGCGCCGCAACCGCGCTCCTCCCCCCCACCCAGTCGTTATCCGCCGGGCTGCAGTCGTGTATCGGTCTCGCACCTGTTTCACCTGTCGTGCTCTAATCACTCGGTCCGCCTCTCGTCGCCTCTTGCCGCTCTCCCCTTCTGTTCCGCTTCCCCCCCGTACTTTCCGCTTACCTCCGCTTCCCCCCGCGCACCTCCGCTCCCCTCCGCTCCGTCAACAGACCAGCCGCGGCCGGCGCTGACGTGGGAGCAGCGGCAGCGCATCGCGCATGGCGTGGCGCTGGGGTTACAGTACCTGCACTCGTTCAGCAACCCCACCATCATTCACCGCGACGTCAAGAGCGAGACCATCCTGCTCGATGAACAATTCGACGTGCGTCTCGTGCTCGCCCTCTCCCCGCGCACGGGTGGTGCTGTTCCTCTCACAAAGGAACAGCACCACCCGTGTCGCGCGCTGCTGCTGCTGCTGCTTCTCCCACTCGCGCTGCTCGCTGCCGTGTTCCATCGCTGCTGCTGCTGCGCGGAACTTCCGCATTGCCCGCGTTTCTCCCCCCCCCCCCCCGTCCCTCCTCAAACCCATCTTCTCCTCTAGTGCCCCTCCTTTCCCCCTCCCCCTCCCCCTCCCTCTCGGCCCTCTCCCCCGCGCCGCTCCCCCTTTCCCCCTTCCGCGCGCAGGTGAAGGTGGGCGGACTCGGGCTGCTGAAGCACCTGCCGGGGGAGGCGATGCGGCTGCGCATGGCGCGCAAGAAGGGTTACCTGGACCCGGAGTACTTCCAGACGTTCAAAGTCACCACCAAGTGCGACGTGTACAGGTGCGGCCCGGGGGGGGCTGAGAGGCATGAGAGGGGGGTTAGGCGCGGGGAAGAGAAGGGGAGGGGTGAGTGACGTGGGCGGGGGAGGCGCGTGGCAAGACGTGTACAGGTGCGTCCCGGGGGTAGGTGAGACGGTCGGACGAAGGGCTACCTGGACCCGGAGTACTTCCAGACCTTCAAAGTCACCACCAAGTGCGACGTCTACAGGTGCGGCACTGGGGAGGGAGAGGCAGAAAAATGGGGAGTGAGGCGCGGGGGTGAGGGAGGGAGGGGGGAGGGGGTTTGCCTCGACTGCATCACACCGCACATGCACTAGTATGCCCGCACTCCCTGCGCGAATGCCTTTCTGAGTCGACCTGTATGGGCTTACATTTCGTGTGGAAGCGAGAAAGACTCCCCTGCCTTTGCTCACCCTCCCTCTCCCTCTCCCTCTCCCCCTCGTTCCCCCTCCGCCCATACACCGCCCGCGCCCTTTCCCCGCGCGTCAAAACGCGCAGCTTCGGCGTGGTGCTGCTGGAGCTGCTCACGGGGAAGCCGCCCATCCTCGTGGACCCGCAGCAGGACGCGCAGAAGGCGGGGCAGGCGGGGGGGCAGGTGGCGCAGAGTCAGAGCCAGAAGCAGCCGGGGAAGAACCGCCCGCCCGCGCGCTTCGCCTCCTTGGGCTCCGCTCCGCGCCCCTCGGGCACCCCGCTGCTCACGCTGCCCCAATGGGTGCGCCCCCTCCCCGCCCCGTTCTCTCCCTTTTTTGCCCCCCCTACTGTCTTTGAGAATCTCAAAAGTGACTCTAATCTACCTGTCCTGCCCATTCCTTGGAATATCCTTGACGCGCAAAGCTTGTCAGTTTGGTGCTTGCGCTTTCCGCCCCTCACGGGCTTGTTGTTGCTGCTCCCCCGCCCTTTTTCCTCTCTTCAGATCGCTACCCTTTCTCTCGGGTACTAGCTTGCTGCTGGCCCCATCACCCTTTTCTCCCAGTCGCAAGCTCGCTTCCCCTCGCATCTCCCTCTCATCCCTTACCCCCAGGCGCTGAGCATGATAGACGAGGGCAAGATACGCCAGCTAGTGGACCCGCGCCTGCCCTTACTGACACAGTCTCATAACTCGTCTCCTCCCATCGCCTGCCACCCCCCCCACTCGCCTCCCCATCAGGCGCTGAGCATGATAGATGAGGGCAAGATTCACCAGCTAGTGGACCCGCGCCTGCCGCAAGCCACGCCAGTGGAGGAGCTCCAGGCCTTCGCGCGCGTGGCCGCGTCCTGCGTGTCGCCACTGCGCCGCGACCGCCCCGACATGCCGCGCGTGGTGGCGATGCTGCAGGACGCGTGCCGCACGGGCGCGCTCGTGCGCTTCACCTCGGGCAACTTCTCGCTCACACGCTCGCTCAGCATCCCCGACACGACCGGCTCTTCTGTCAAGCCCAGCCCTTGATGATGGCACACCACGACAAGGCTCTTCTCCCTTTTCCTTTTCTCAGCTCCTTGGAAAGGAGAAGCCAGGCTGGTCAGGATGTGGTGCCCAGTGACGCCAAGCTGATGAGCAAGCTCTCTTTGGCCCCACCCTCTCTTTCTCCTTCTCTCTCTCTTCTTCTCTCTCTTTCCCTCACTCCCATCTCTCTCTCTCCTCCATCTCTCTCAATCGCTCCCCATCTCCTCCTCCTCTCTCTCCCACTCCCCTCCTGTTCTGATTCCACAGCCTCCTGCTGATTCCTGAAACAGCATATCCTTGCGATGATCACAATCCACTGCAGCACCACCGCCACACATCAATCTCCATCCACAATCCCTGAACCCAAGCATGATCAGCCGCAGCCCCACACCACCCTGCCATTCACCCTATCCCATGCTCACCAGCTCAACTCAACTCCCCACCTCGAAATGTCCCACGCACTAAACTATGATTAAGCCCCACGTTAACCTGCCAGCACAGCAGCACATGTTTTCAGCCCCTCCCACACCCCTTTCACCCACCCCATGCATTTTCTCCTCACACACCTCCCACCTAGCCATATGTTCCCCCAATCCCTCCCCACACCTTCCCCAAGCCCCTTCCCATCTCTCAAGCCTCCTCACAAGCATGCTCCCCGCATATCTCCACATAGACTCCCCCCCTCACACCATTACTCTTCCCCACCACATCCTTACCTCTCGACCTCTCCACCTTACAATGGCTTACCTCCGGTAGTGAACCCCCGGCTTGCTCTCTCTCAGGTTACTTATGTGTAGACAGAAGAAAGCCTTTCTTTGTGCATGTATGCTGCTGCTCCCTACCTTTCCTGTACCTGTTAGCTCTCTGCATCGCCATGCCCTAGTAATGTTGTGCTAATAAGCAGTTTCCTGTATGATTGGGTCATTGTAAACCAGTGCCATGTACAATGTATTGTATGGCAACATTCCTGAAAACTCCTGATTTTCAACTACCTTACCTAATCAATGGAATCCTGCATCGAGTACGAGGATTCACATTTGTACTGTATGGTATATGCCTAGTGTTAAACCGAACATTGTTTTACGCACTTTGTGGGATAGTAGATAATGGGTACCGTACCATATGAGCCTGTTATAGCCAGGTCCTGCTTGCTGTTAACTACTGGTATTGGATATGTAGTGGTATGATAACTGCACTGCGCACTCATTGTTGGAAAGCTGCAGATGACATGCTTCACAAGAACAAATTCACCACTGCGTTGCGCATATGGTACCATGCACCTTGTCCCACGTACGGTAGTACTGTCCACTGTCTCCGAAAGCCTGTGCACTGCAGCTATCGGTATGATAAGCACGAGTCTGCGTTATGTTTACAATGCCCCTCATCTCACCACAAGTGCAGGATGCAAAACGTCAGCATCAAGGCGTCAACAAGCAGATAACACGTGCAGGATCCGAGGCTTCAGCACATCCTGCAACGCTTGCCCGCTTACCCCTCCGGTTATAGCAACCTGTGATCTCTCCTAGCACATGCCGCACGTCCCCTGCTCTACCTCCCACCACTGCCCCTTCATTTCCACACCTACGCCCCCCTCCTGTTTCCAACCCGGAATCCTCACTTCTGTCGGGTGAGTCCAAGCAAATGTAAGGATAACGTCTTCCCTTATACACCCCTCCCCCCTGAAACGACACCTCACATCTTGCCCCCCTTGCTTTCCCGTCAATGTCCCTTCCATCGCTGCTCCCTGTCTTCAGCTCCACAGTCCGTACGCACTCACCATCATCCTCCTCCCCATACCCCCCCTCCTCCATCGCTCCACCCACATGGCTCCCATGCAGCGGCACCACAGCACTGGGCATGGACGGACATTGCCGCACCTGCCCTTGCTTCCGTGCTTGCTGCCACACTGCTTGTCCCGCTCGCACTGCCTGCACACAACCACCGGCAGTGGCTGATTGCCCCCGCAACGACAAGTCACGAGAGGAAAACCACACAGGCGACAACGTCGAATCTTGCAAAGCGGGGGCCTCCCATGAACCGCACAACACGGCACTGCAAGGAGGAGGAGAAGGACGCCGGCAGGAGACCGCTCCACCCCCCCCCACCACTCCGTTCTCTCTCTCCCGTCGCCGCTGCCCCCTCTCGTCTTGGCTCTCGTGGCTGCCTTGCCTGCCATGGCCGTCGTCCCCTGTGAGGTCTATCAACACATGCACGTCGCTCCGTGTCCCCTCCACGCCTCTCCCCCCCCGCTTGTCACTGTCGCCCTCCTCCCGCTCCCTCCCCTGCACCACCGTGGAATAGTTCTCAACCGCTGACAAACCACTGCTCCACCTGCCATTGCCGGTGCTACTGCCACAACTGTGCTTGGTGCTGTTGCTGGTGCCACCACCACGCAATCCCATGCCTTCTGTCCTACCTGCCCCTGTGTCCCAGGTTGTTGCTACTGTTGTGAGTGCCCCTGCTGCCCTGGCTGCCCCTGCCAGTACTCCTCCTTGCCTTGCACCACTGCCACTGCCTCTACCCTTCTCACACCACTCTTCACACAACCCCTCCTGACTCTGCCTACCAATGCCGCCACACCACGCACCTTCTCTTGTCCCTCTCTTCTCACCACCTCCATGCACACACTCTGCACCCTCTGTGCAAGCACCACACCCAGAAACACCAGCACGTTCGGCAGCAGCAGCAGCAGCAGCAGCAGCAGCAGCAGCAAGAGAAGCAGCATGTGTGCTGCAGGCACTGTTACTACCACCAGCGCGTTTCACCCAGACCCCTTCCATCCCCCCTCCCCCTTGCGTCTCCCTTCCCACATCCCCATGTCCCCCATGCGCCCCTGCACGCCCTCCCCACACCCCACAGCCTGCCGTCCCCTCATCCCCTCTCCCCATCCACCCCGCTTCCAATTCGTCTCCTCTCCCACTCCTATCCGCACTCTTGCTCCCACTTGCCCCTGCTTCCTCCCCCCACCTGTCCACCCCACTCCATCCCGTCCCCCAAGCCTCGTCACACTCCCTTTCCCCCTCTCCTCTGCTCTCCACCCCCTCTTCCATGTCCCCACAGTCGGAATCCCCCAGCACCCCCGAGTCCCCCCACTCGAACCCCCAGTCGACACCCCCACAGTTACCACCATCACCACCGCTCCCAACACCCCCATCCCCTCCCCCTCCTCCTCCTGCCCTTGTCTCTCGTTCCGCCTCCCGCCCCCTCTGCTCTTCCATTCCCCCTTCCCACGCCCCTTGTATACCCTCCTCTCCCACACCACACCCCCCCTCGCCCAACGCTTCAACACCCCCACCCTCTTCTCCCCCTGCCTCCGGGCCACCATCCTCCCCCGCCCCCCGCGTCCCAAGGGCAGTCAGGGGCGCAATAACCAGGCGCATTTGGGGGGGCAGGCAAGGGGGAGGCCAGCTGCGGGGGACATGGTCGGGGGAGAGAAACTGCAGGACGAGGGGGAGGCTGGGGGGAAGAAGGGGAAGGTAAGGGGAGTGAGAAGGAAGTGAGGGAGGAAAAGAGAGCACGGGACAGTGGTGTGAGTCACGCGAGTGCAGGTAAGGAGTGTGCGGGGGAGGAAAACAAGCACACAAGAGATACTCCTCTTTACCCATCTCCACTCCTTACAACACACCCGCTCCTTCCCCCAAGCACCTCCCCCTCCGCTCCTCTGCTCCTCATACCCCCCTCCTCTCCCTCTCACCTGCACCACAGCGGCAGCTGCAGCATGTGCAGCATGAGCCTGAGCTTGCCCGCAGATCCCACCAGCTGCCGCCTGCTGTGCTGTGCCGCCACGCCCCTCACGTGCAGCGACCGCAGCGGGTGCTGCCACGCCCACTCAAACTGTGCACGGGGAACGGCGAGCGCGGGTGGGGGTGGGGGTGGGATGGAGGGAGGTGGGCACAGAGTGCAGAGCCGAGAGGGCCAATCATGAGACGTGGGAGACAGGTGCAAAGGGGAGGGCGAGAGGTTCTGGGAGGAGTGTTTCAAGGGGACGGAGTGGGGAAGAAGAGCACGCACTGCTGCACAAGAAGACGCGGAGGAGGAGGAGGATGAGGAGGATGAAGAGGACGAGGGGGAGTAAGATGATGCATCAAACCTCTCTCCTTCCCCTTCCCCCCTCGCGCACACCTCCTGCCAAGGAACCATGCAGGGAAAACCATGCAGCAGCAGCAGCTGTGAGAGGCAACACTTGCCGCCACAAGCGTTCCTACAGCTGTGTAGCCACTCTCCCCCTTCACCCCTTTCCCCCTTCTCCCCCCACCCTGCCTGGCGCGCACCTGCAGCGCGGCGGAGCGCGAGGGGAAGCCGTGCAGCAGCAGCAGCATCTCCCAGGGGCGGTGCCGGCGCGTCTTGTGCGCGCCGCTCACCACGCGCCCGTTGTGCTGCCGCAGCCGCCGCACCGGGTCCACTGTGAAGCTGGAGGGGGGGGGAGCAAAGCGCGGGGAGAACGGGGAGAGGAGGGGGAGCGAGAGGGAACGAGAGCAAGGGGAGTGCAGGCGACACCACTGAGGAAGACAACGGACTCTAGTTTTGCGGAATCCGGCACCAATCTTGCAGATAAAAATTCAAAATTACACGTCGGTTCGTACGCGCTATAAACGAGGAAACGCAGCTGAAAAAAAACAAAATTACACATACCCGATGTAAGTGGCTCCGCGCGCCTGGGGGTTCAGGCTCCGCAGCAGGTAACACGCGTTCAGCGAAACCGAAGATTTTCGCGCAGGTCGCCTCTCCTTGTTCGCCGCGTGTGAGGACCTTCTAGACGATTGCTCCCCGACGACATCCATGTCTCTCGGCTCTATGACCGCACTATTTTCGTCTCTAAGGATACGCACCACCCTATGCGTCGACTCAAAATGTCGCTCGATCCGTCTCTAAGGGTATGCTGCACTAACTTTAAGCTAAATTCGACGACTTGGCTTCTGCGTATGCGATTTTCTACGTCGGTTCTTCAGCGATTGTAGGGTGGACACGTCACACGACACTGTGCGAAACTGTAATGGTCGCTGCGCGCTGATGTATGTTAAGAAAGTTGCGCGCGTGTCGCATGAGCAAATATTTCGCAACGATCCCCCAAGTTCATCGCCCGGCTCCCGCATTGGTCGCGACAATTTTAGGCGCCGTATCTGACACCCGCCGTTTGTAAGCGGTTGACACAATGGCGGGCTATTCCACCTCGTGGCGAGAATCACTTGGTCCCGAAGAATCAAATAACGGCGGAACATACCCACTTACACAGGAAAAGGGCTGCCTAGACTTGTGAGGTAGCCTAGGGCTAGGTAATTTGATGATCAGCAATCGAGAGATTTGAGGAGGTTTCAGTTTCTGTTTTCCACTCCGCTCTCTGGATCTGAAAAGATTTATTGGCGCGCTGTGCGCGCTGCGCCTCGAGCCTGGGTGCGTCTGACAAGGCGGTGTGATCGCCCAAATATTGTCGGTACTCAATATGGTGGGTGCACCGACTATGGTAAAACACGTGTCTGATTGAACCTATCGTATTTTGTTTAATAAACCGATAAACACTAGCAGAGGAGACTATACTGCTGCGTAAATTGCGCAACAGAAGCACTTCTTCTAGCGAGAGGAATCCGAGTCTTCTGAATCTTCCCGCCTCACATCCACCCAATGGCTTCCCGCGTTTCCGCCTCACCTTCATCCACAACCATCCACAGCCGTTTATCCATCACTCGACCCTCTGCAGCCCGTCGATGTGTGTCAGTTTCATTCCCACAGCTCCACCAACCACCACAGGTTGCTTGACCGCCTGTCACCGAACTGTCGCCCTACTCGGTCGCCGTCGACTTCGTCAAAATCGCCACTGACTGGTTACGAACGCCTTTAGGTCGCAGCCAGTTTCGCGGCCCTAGAAAGTACCAGTAACCAGATCTCTTCCCCTGGAGTCAACAAGTACTCAGATTCTCTCCCTCCACATCAAATCACACATACCGAGGTTCTCTCCGCATTCTGCGCTGCTCTCTCTCGCATTCTCGTTCTAGGTGGAATCCTCCATTCTTCACCTTTTGTCACCAACGCGACGTTCGTGGGGGACAAACGGAGACCGTACGGGATGAGCGTAGCAAACAGAATCTGAGTGTCGGCGTGTGCGTGATTTCACTATCCTGGAGCGGCTAGCGGAATCGGGTAGTCTCCTCAGGGCGACTCGCGCTACCCTTCACCCTCAGGTTCGAATTTCTCGTACCGTAGTCCGGCGATGCCCGTCCTGTCTGAAAGCGATTCTTTTGACGACCCAATTCCCGTAGCTGCAATGCTGTCGTCTCAAAACTAGTAACTGTTTGTCATTGCCCTTCCTTGTCCTTGCCGAGACAACCTTTGCCAGTGGTTCATATCCTGCTTGCTCTGTCCACTCCATGCTAATCTCCCTTCGTTCCAGCTTTTCGCACGTGGTAACACGTTACTGTCAATGTTCATTCTACCTCACACACCCTCTCACCATAATTCGACCTCACCTTGTGCTCCTTTTCTTCCGCTTCGTCCTCTCCCGTTTCGCCAGACCGCCATGAGGCATTCACAGCTGCTCCTATCGCTCCTCCTCGTCGCCAGTCTTGTCGCCGCGGCAACCGCGCTCCGCCAGGCCTCCCTTCCTCTCGACGATTCCTCCGCATCCTCCGTCCCCTCGTCTCTCGTGAACGGGGCGGATCGATCCGCATCCGTCGCGGTCGCCCGTCGCCTGCTCGGTCTGTCTATCGCGGACGTTGACGTTGACGATGAAGGTGACGACGCGACGCGGGGAATCTCCGTCGCGGACCTGTCGCCCCGTTTGGCGGCGGTGAATGTGGAGGAAGGGGGGGAAATGGCGGAGAGGTTCGAAGTTGCGCGCAGGGGTTTGCAGGAGGACGAGGAGACGGGGGAATCGACCAGCACCAGCAGCAGTAAGCTGAGCAAGAAGAAGAAGAAAAAGCTGAAAAAGAAGAAGAAGAAGGTGAAGACGGCTAAGAAGGTAAAGAAGTCTGTTCTTAGCGAGGACGCGGAGGAGGAAAGCGCGGCGGTAGCGCCGGAAGCGGAGGAAGCCGAAAGAGCGGTTGGAAAGGAGGGGAAGGGTGAGGAGGGGGTGGAGGGAGAGGACGAGGCGCGAGTGGGAAGTGTTAAGACGAGGAAGAAGAGCGATGAGATGATACAGATGGCGGTAGGGGGCCGCGAGGACGCCGAGGAGAGTGAGCTTAGCGCGGGGAAGACGGCGAGGGAGAGCGAGGAAGACGATTCCGCTGCTGCTGCTGGTGTTGCTGCTGATTCTGATAGTGATGGTGGCGATGATGAGGGTACTGTGCGAAAGGCGAAGACGAAGAAGAAGAAAACGAAGAGCAAGTCAAGCAAGAAGAGTAAGACGAGTACGGCGGATGATGAAGCGGAGCAAGAGGGGGAAGAGGGACTGGTGAAGAAGGCAGGGAAGGCTAGCGGTGCGGCGGACGAAGAGGACGCTGCTGCTGCTGGCGCTGATGATGCTGATGCTGCTGGTGATGCCGGTGATGATGCTGATGGCGTGGGGTTTGGAGTGAAGAAGAGCGCCAAGAGCAAGAAGAAGAAGAGCAAGACGAAGAAGAAGAAGACGAGCAAGGTGGCGCCAGACGAGGACGAGGAGGAGGGACGCGAGGGGACGGGCGGCGATGGTGCCAAGGAGGCGGAGAAGGGAGGTGGTGAGGAGGAAGGAGAGGAGGAGGGGGCGGGAGCGGTGGGTGCGGGGAGTAAGGTGGCGAAGAAGAGAGCGTCTGGTGTTGCTGACGGGGAGGAGGAGGGGGAAACTGACGCGGGAGCAGAGGAGCCTGTGTTAGAGAAGAAACGAAAGCGCAGCAGCAGCAGCACGAGCAGCAGTGCGAGCGCGCAGGAGCCCGGCGCAGAGGAGGATGCGGAGGCGGCGGCAGCAGGCGAGGCAGCCGCGGAGAAGGACGACACTGAGGGCGCGGCAACGGGAGGCGCCATGGCGAAAGCAGCAGCGGCAGGGGACGCGGAGGAGGAAGACGATGCACCCGTTAAGGAGTCTCTCTCAGCAGAGGAGGGGGAAGGCGGGGCGGGGGAGGCGGGGGAAGGGGAGGGGGAGGCAGGCGGTTCCAAGCGGCGGCCATCCGCGGAGGAGAAGGGGGAGGCGGCAGCGGAAGCGGCGGAGACGGCGGCAGCGGAGGCAGCGGGCGCGGGGGACGTGGCAACGGTGGAAGCAGCGCAGGAGGACAGCGGGAACAGCGGCGTCGCAGACGAGATCGTGCTCGCGCCTGCCACTGACATGAAGAGCCAGAGCGGGAGTGGGAGTGGGACGGGCGCAGAGGAGGCGGACGTGGGGGTGGTGGATGAATCAGTGGTGCTGGGCAAGGAGGGCGAGGCGGCGGCAGCAGCGGCGGACGAGGGGGCGGTGGAGGTGAGCGTGGGCGAGCAGCTGGAGCTGGAGGCGGCGGCGCTGGAGGAGGAGGAGTCGCTCGTCAACTTCATGACCAACCTGCACGGCGTGCCCCACCGCATCACGCCCACGCTGCAAGGCCTCCGGGTAGGTGTCCATGGGGGGTTGCTGTGATGGGCTTCGAGATGATGGGCTTCGGGATGATGGGCTTCGGGATGATGGGGCGAGGCTCCCGTCCTCACCGTCCTCTCCTCTCGCTTCCAACATCCTCTCCCCGTTCGTCTCCCCCTTCGCCTCCCCCATCCTCTCCTTCGTCTCCCCCTTCGTCTCCCCCATCCTCTCCCCCTTCGTCTCCCCCTTCGTCTCCTATCCTCTCCCCCTCCTCCCCTCCTCCTCTCCCCTCTCCCTCCTCTCCTGCTCCTCCCCTCCCTTCACACCACACCCTTCTCCTCCGCACCCCTCAGGACAAGGCGGCGAAACACATGGCGCCGACCATCAGCCGCCTGGCACAGAAGGGCCATGCAGCATTCATCCACACGTCCGCCACGCTGCGCTCGCACATCACGCCCTACGTGGGCGAGTCCTATTCGCCGCTCCTCGCCTCCGCGCTCTCCTTCTCGCTCCTCCTCATCCCCCTCGCGCTCATTCTCTACCTGCTCAACAAGGCGCGCGTGAATCTCACGGTGCCCAAGCTGCTGCTGCTGGCGAACCTGTACCTGACGCTGTATTGCTTCACGCTGCTGGTGGCGTGTGTGGTGGTGGGGGGCGAGCCCATGGCGAGTCTGAGAGCGGTGGCAGAGCCCAACTTCTACGTGCTGCAGCTGCTGCAGTTCGCGGGGTTCATGCTGTACCTGGGGCTGCAGGTGAGGGGAAGGCGGGGGAGGGAGAGTTGTTGGGGTGTGTTTTGGGGGTGAGGGATGGGGATGCATGTGAGGGGGGTGGGTGGGAGGGAGTTGTTGGGCTGCAGGTGTGATGTGGGCTTAAGGTGGTGTGGTCTCGAATGTGACTTCATCCTGTGATTGGGGTGTGGGAGGGGAGAGAGTGGTGGGTTGGCGGGAGTTGTGGGGAGGACGGGGAGGGGGAGTCGGGTGGCGTGGGGTGCTGAGGAGTGGGGATGTGGAAAGAGAGGAGGGGAAATCGGGGGTATGTGAGTGGCGTTGCGGCTTGGTCTGTCTGAGAATGCTATTCTTTTCTCTGCGCTGCTCTGTGGTGAGAGGGCTGCATTCAACAGCATCTGTTGGTGTGCCATGAGTCCTCACAATCCGGGCTTATCCATCTTCAGGGCCTTGCCTTCCCTTCCCTTCCCTTCCCTTGCCTTCCCTTCCCTTCCCTTCCCTTGCCTTGCCTTGCCTTGCCTTGCCTTGCCTTCCCTTCCCTTCCCTTCCCTTGCCTTGCATTGCCTTGCCTCGCCTCGCCTCGCCTCGCCTCGCCTCGCCTCGCCTCGCCTTCCCTTCCCTTCCCTTCCCTTCCCTTCCCTTCCCTTCCCTTCCCTCACCTCACCTCACCTCACCTCACCTCACCTCACCCCACACCCCCATCCCACCGCAAGCCCCCCCTTTTTCCTCCCCCCCTCTTCTTCCCCTCGGGTGTCTAAAAAACACTCTGCGGCATTTCACTTCCCCTCAACTCACCACATTCGTCATCCCCATCCTCCTCACCCCTTTCTCCTCTCCTCACACTCCACACCCCTCCCCCTCCCCTCCCGCCGCCCCTTCCTTCCCCCTTCCCCCCCCCAGTTCTGGTCCCTAGGCAGCGCTCTCCGCAGCAACTCGAGGCAGCGGGACCTGGGAGCGGTGGCGAGGGCGCTCGTCCAGTGCACGGCGACAGTGGGCGTGGGGCTGCACTACTACCTGGCGGTGTTTGAGCGCGCCATGCTGGACGAGGCCCTGCGCATGAACGCCTGGGCCTACCTCGTGTATGCGCTCGTATTTGCGCTGCTCACGCTGCTCACCCGGACGAAGCAGATGCGCGATGAGATTGGGAAGAACACGTGAGGGGCAGAGAGGAGGGTGGGGGGAGTGGGGTGGATGGTGGATGGTGGAAGGGAAGGGGGCTTGTTCGAGCTTGACTGGATGAGAGGGAGGGGAGCTGAAGGAAGTCCAATGGGATGGATGCAGTGTGTTGTCTGTCTGCTACGATTTGAATACCGGTACTGTGCTGTGCTGCCTTTTTAGTTTACGGTAGTTAGAGTAGGTGTACAAACATGGTGTGCTTGCTTGCCCATCAGACACTCGGGGTTTCTCAGTTTTGCCCCTTCTGAGCTACTGTATAGGACCCTCTGAAGATTAACTCAACTGTAAATGATGGGTGATGTGATGATGCACTGTGAATGTACAATCTTACCTGACACACTCCTGACTCCTGACCTGAGCCAAGTGGTCTCCTCCAGATGCAAGTGTGGCACCAGTGGACTGGAATCTGGGCTTCTGTGGTACCGTACCGGTAGGTGCGCTACTACCGGTAAATGCATGACAATACCATTCTTTGTGGGCACAATGGCACAATGGCACATGGCACATGGCAGTTGAAGAAAGACACAAAGAAATGATAAAGCAACTACGGTACGGTACTACGGTATCCAAGGTCCAATTGGATATCACAGAATCAAACGAATCAGCTACGGTACTGTCAAGATGCAGAATCAGATGATGCAATTACCGTATGGTAGTGAAACATGGGGACGCAACGCAGCAACCATAGCTCGACAACAGCCGACAGAAGTCACCCTTGTGAACAAGCCAACGAGACTTGCACACTGCCTTGCCGTTGCCCTGCCTTGACGTGTCTTCAACCTGCCACCCCCAGCCCAGCTCATTGGTTTGGCAATCGTACCCCCTACCCAGCTGCTACTGCTGCCTGTGTCTGCAACGCACACACACACCTCGACTCCTCCACCTTAAAGCCTCACTGAGACCGTCCGTCCGGACCCAGAACGCACTCTCCTCCCAACTGTCCCCACCACCCCGTCCCATATCCCCCCAACTGCTGCTGCTGCTGCTGCTGCTGCTGCACGAGAGATGCTGCCTTGTGTGTGCGCCTTGCTATTGAAAGAAGATCCGCGTCTGACCCCTCTCCCATCCCCACTCAACCTTCGCTCTCAACCTTCCCCCTCGCTCCTCTCCCCCGCCCCTTCTCCCCTCACCCGTCACTCCCATCCCTCTCCCCTCCTTCCTCCTCCCTCACCCCTTCCCCATCACCCGTTCATGAGCCTATCAATCACGGCATTCAGATCCACGCCCCTACCCGAATCCATCACCTGCTGCACCGCCGCCCGCACGCGCTTCCTCGCAAACCCCATGCTTGCCACGTCATCCACCACCTTCTCTATAGGCACACTCCTTGTACTCACATTAGCACCAGAACCAGACCCAGACCCAGACCCTCCCACCCCTCTGGTACCGTCTCCTCCTGCCCTCCCCCCTGCCCCTGCTCCTGCCATCCCTGAATCACTCACAGGCTCTGCAAACGTGACTCTCCTACTGCCGCCTCCCCCCCTCACTCCCCCCCTTGCTGCTGCTGCCCCCGCTCCCCCGCCCGCCCCCCTGGCCCCACTCCCCGTGGGCGCTGCAACAGGGTGGGCAAGGGGAAGGGGCGCAGCTGGGGCGGGGGAGGCGCCTGGGGAAGGGGAGGGTGGGTGGCTGGGAGTCAGGGGAGGGTGAGGGGGAGTGAAATAGGGCTGGGGCGGCATTGGGGGAGCGGGGGGCCCGCCAGGGGGAGGGGGAGGGTAAGGATACGGGGACTGGGGGTAAGGTGGTTGAGGAGGCAGAGGCGGGTACTGCTGCTGCTGCTGCTGCTGCTGCTGCTGCTCGTACTGCTGCTGGTGAAACTGCTGGTGCTGGTGCTGCTGGGTTATGGAGTGCATGGGCATTGGCATGGGTTGCCCGGGGGGAGGGGGAGGAGGGGGAGGCATGGCATATGGGGGAGGCGGCGCATGGGGATAGTACATCATGGTATGAGGTGCGGGAGGTGCATACATGCCCTGAGATGCAGGCGGGGGAGGGGGAGGAGGGGGAAGAGAATGATGAGGAGGGGGAGAGGGAGGAGGAGGAGGGGGAGGAGGAGCGCTACCAGGAGTGGGGTAACTAGGAGGGGGAGGAGGAGCAGCATTTGGAGGAGGGGGAGGGGGAGCAGATGGCGGCACCATGCTGTATGGCGGAGGGGGGGTGGGTGGGGCGGGCGCGGGAGAGGGAGGAGGCGGAGGAGGAGCAGCAGCCGGAGGGGGAGGCGGAGGGGGGGGAGGGGCAGGGGCAGGAGGAGGAGGCGGGGGAGGGAGAGGAGGAGCATTTGGAGGAGGCGGCTGGGGATAAGGAGAGGGGGAGACAGGAGCAGCAGCAGGAGGTGGGGGTGGTGGGGGCGGCGGTGGAGGGAGTGGTGGGGGCGGCAGTGGTGGCGTAAATGGAGGTGGTGCTGTTGGTGGGGGTGGTGGAACAGAGCTACCAGGAGCAAAAGGAGCGCTGGGAGCTGCCTGCTGTGCTGCCTGCTGTGCTTCCATTTGCTGCTGATGCTTGTAGTGCTCTCGAGCCTGTGCTTCTTGCTCTGCTTGTGCTTGTGCCCGTGCCTGTGCCTGTGCCTCTGCCTCAGCCTGTGCCTGTGCCTGTGCCTGCATTTGCACTGGGTCAACCGCACTACCAGCACCATACTGCTGCTGCTGTGCCTGCTGTGCCACATGCTGACTCCCTGCTTCCTGTTGCTTCTGCTGTTGCTGAAAATTATGCTGCTGTTGCAGAAAATGCTGCTGCTGCTGGTGCTGCTGCTGAAACAGCTCCTGCTGCTGGTGGTGTTGCTGAAAATTCTGCTGCTGCTGCAACTGCTCCTGCTGCTGCTGAAAATTCTGCTGCTGCTGCTGCTGCTGCTGCAACTGCTCCTGCTGCTGATGCTGCTGAAACTTCTGCTCCTGCTGCTGCTGCTGCTGCAACTGCTCCGGCTGCTGCTGAAAATTCTGCTGCTGCTGCTGCTGCTGCTGCTGCTGCTGCTGCTGCTCCTCCTCCTCCTGCTGCCGCTGTGCAGATGCGAGCTGCTGTGTGTGTTGCGGTGCTAGCGGTAGAGATGGATAGACTACATAGTTCCCACGGTATTGCCTTTCTGCCTGCTCTTGTGCCTGTGCCTGTGCCTGTGCTTGTGCCTGTGCCTGTGCCTGTGCCTGTGCTTGTGCCTCAAAATAGTAAGAGGACGAAGGATATCCACTGCTTCCCTGCTGCTGCTGCTGCTGCTGCTGCTGCTGCTGCTGTTGCTGCGGGTGGGGCAACAGTGTCTGTGACTGCACCGCGCCAGCGGGTGCAAGGAAAGGGTAGGCCACAGGAGCAGGGGCAGCAGGTGCGATTGGAGCATTAACAGGAGGTGGGGGGGGCGTGGCAGGCGGAGCAGGGGCAGGAGGAGCAGACGCAGGCTCAGGGTAGGGAGGAGGAGGGGAGGAAGCGGGGGAAGAGTAGGGCGGAGATGGGGCGGAAGCAAGGTAGTGAGGAAGAGGCAACGAAGCGAGGGGAGGATGAGGAGCAGGAGAGGCGTGTGGGGGAGGAGGGGGCGGCTGGGTGGGCTGGATAGCAGCAGCAGGGGCAGGAGGAGCGGGCAGCGCGAGAATGGTGCTGGCAGCAGCAGTACCACCACCGGTGGTATCACTGGAGTTAGCAGCGGTTCCAATGGAACCAGCAGCGGTGCTGGGAGGTGCGGAGGCGAGGGAGAGGGTGTGCAGGCGAGAGAGCTCTGCCTGGGCGTCGGCTAGCTCGTGTCGGTCCCGCAGCACCTGAATGCCCCTCTGCACCTGCCATGCTCGCATGCGGGCGCAGGAGACACAGGCAGCGGGGGAAGGGGCCGGGAGACATGGGGGGAATGGGCAGAGGGACAGGGGGGAGAAGGGGTAGAGGGATGGGTGGGGAAAGGGCAGATGGGGGCAAAGGGGCAGAGGGGCGCATGGGGGGAAGGATCAGAGGGACATATGGGCTTAAAATTGAGGGCGGCAGCCAAACAGGATGAAAGGGAGAAGCGGGAGGGAAGGGGGGTGAGGGATGAGGGGATGGAGGTTGCTACGTTGGGAGAGGAAGGGGGCGAGCAGAAAGCAAAGCAATATACGAAATAACAAGAAGGAAATACAAAAGCACCAAGCACACTGTATGTGATGTTGCTGCAAAGGCTGATTCAAAACTGCCCTAAACTACTCCGACTGAATCCTCCTCTCTTTTCAAAGAGAACGCCCCATCCTGCGCAATCTCCCTTCCCTCTTCCCTCACTCCCTCAATTCACTCTGGTAACAACACCCGACAACCACCCCCACTCCCCCCCCAATCTTCTCACTGAACCCCATCCCCGCCATCATCCCTTCCCACCTCCTCCTTTCTCCCTTTCCCCTCCCTCCCCCTTCCCCCCTGCCCCTTCCCCCCTCCCCCCTCCCCCCTCCCCCCCTCCCTCCACCCCCCTCCCCCCTCCCTCCTCCCCCCTCCCCCCTCCCTCCTCCCCCCTCCCCCCTCCCTCCCCCCACTCCCCCCTCCCTCCCCCCCCCTCCCCTCCCCCCACCCTTTTTCCACCTTCTCCCCCTCACCTCCAGCAGCAGCTGTTCCATTGATCGCATCCGCCCCTCCAACTCCGCCTGCCTCTCCCCCATCTCCCGCCACCCCCTCTCCCCCTCGCGCTGCAGCGCCCCCACTGCACCCTCCACTGCGCCCACGCGCGCCCCCACCTCCCCCACGGCCGCGCCCACGCCGCCCGCGAACCGCTGCAACAGACGCTCCACGCCGCCCAGAACGGCGGAGGTGACGTGGCTCAGGTCCGCGGCGGTTGCAGGGGCGCGCGCTGCTGCTGATGCGCGCATGCCCTCCCCCCTGCCCATGGATAAGCTTCCGCCCCCACTGCTGCCACCACTGCCGCTGCCGCCACCACCACTGGCCCCTGCGCCTGAGCCTGCTGCTTGCCCCCCACCCCCCCCAACGTAACTACCTCCGAAGCCTCCCCCTCCGCCTCTCCCTCCCCCACCTCCCCCTACGCCTCCCCCATCCCCGCCCCCCGCTGCTGCGCGCATGGCTGCCCCCCCTGACGCGGACCACGACGAGGGGGGATTCGAGGGGGTGGTGGAGGAGGAGGAGGAGGTAGAGGGGGACAAGGAGGCTGCAGCGGGCAACGAGGACGAGAAGGTTGCGGGAGCCAAGGACGTTGCAGCGCGCGCGGCGGACGAGGAGGGCATGTAGAGGGGCTGCTGCTGGTGCTGCCCGCGGTCCGCGCTCAGGTCCCCCTGCGCGCAGCGAGCACGTGCGGGAATGGGGAGTGGGCGCGGAGGGGAGTGACACGGAATAGGTAAGCGCGGAATGACGATGACTGGAAAGAGCTCGTGCGGAGATTATCGAAAGGGGTGAATACGGATAGGTGAAGGATGTGTGAAGAGGTGAGTGAGCGCAGGGAGAGGGGGGAAGGGAGAGCGCGGGAGAGCGCGGCAAAAACCCATTGGCGAACCCGCGAGACGTAAGGTGCGGCAAATTGGGAAAAACGGACTTGGAATCTCTTAAAAAAAAATAACAAGCAGCACCCGTAGGCGAAGCGAGAAGAGAGAGCGAAGAAGGGAGATACGAGAAGGGCGAAGGTAGAACGGTTAACAAAGAGTGAAGGAAGCCGAGGAAATCCCTTTATCCCCCGGAGAAAAGCGGGGCGTGTTATCAAAGAGTTTCCCAACGTCGTAGTACTCAGTCGCGGTCGCGGGAATTTTCCGTCCACTTTCAAGACGTCTCGCAGTCACTCAAAAGGCCCTGCGTGCTCACGAAGAGATCGCCGACGTTGTAATACACGGTCATGGTCACGGTCGCGGAAAAGAGCCAGTCCAGTTATGAGAAGATTCAAAAGGCGTTGCGTGCTTACGAACAAGTCGCCGACCTCGTGGTGCATGGACACGGTTGCGGGGAAGAGCCCGTCCAGCGATACCTGCGCGCGCGCATCTCCGCCCACCGCGTACATCCCGCCGCCCGCACCTCCCTGTGCGGATCTCCCTTCCCCCGACAAATTCCCCGCGCTGCCCCCGCCACCGCCGCCGCCGCCGCCGCCGCCGCTGCCGAGGCTGCTGCTGTTGCTACCACTGCCGGGCGTCGTCGCCGAGGCCTTGGTTCCCGAGCCGAAGCGGTAAAGGTCGTCGAGCACGGATGACGTGGACGCAGACGTCGATGACGTGGAGCGCGCGGAGGACGGTTGAGAAGCAGTTAACGGTGGCAAGAGATCGAAGAACGGGTATGACGTGGAACTACGAGGCTGACGCGAGGGCCAGCTGGGATCCATGGCTTTTGAAAAGTCACCTAATTAGGAATCCTCTTCCGGTCTTTACCAGGGCACTATCTAAAAAGTTAATAACTTGTTACGACCAAAAACTTCAGTCAACTTAATCCGCCCATCGACTTACCCGCCTATTAACTTCTTGCGAATATCTGCTAGCAAATACTGCTGGTGAATAAACTTTCTATGCACGCAACGCAATACAAGCACCTGTCCAGTTTGCGAGACGGATGCTGCACGGTACACCCTCTCTCGCGCCAGACTGACATTGGCCATACTGACAGCCCGGCTGTACTGACCTCAATGCGTCCAGAATGGTCACAGCACATACCATATAAGCACACTTGCCGCACTTAACCGTACGCAAAAGCAAGCTTTCTTCCACATAACGTTGTGTACCGTTCCTCCGGAGCAGGGCTTTTGTTATCAGGGCAATAACCCTGCTTTGACTGAAATTACAAGGTGTTAGAGGAACCCTGATTGTCATCAGGTGCTTCTTGGACCAGCCCGTAAGTCTCTCTCCCACACCTCAATGCAGGTTTTCAGGCCTTTTCTGGCTCGAACCCGGATTTGTCGTGGTCGGATTTTCGCTGGCTCGGATTTTACAGGGTTTTTTTCACAGGGGCCCGGATCGTCCGAGCTAGCAGAAATCCTGCCACCTAGCTGGGGTTCGGTTCCAAGCACCAGATCGCTAGGGTCCAAGCAACAGTACGCACTGTAGCCAGTGCATCCCATTGTCAGTCTGGCGCGAGAGAGGGTGTACTGCTCCCAGTTGTTCCTCCCTCTCATCTCAACCGCAGCTTGCGAATGCAAGTTTTATTCGTTGCGTACACCCATTTGTTCATGCTCATGGTGACAGCCTAGCCTAGTAAAAGACAAGACACCAGCCAGCGAAAACGTTCATTTCGCTTGAACGGGTCATCAACCGTGCAAGATCGGTAATCAACCGCTTTGAAGCACCTGTTCGATCGGTTCGCGACACGCCCGATGAAACCTTCAGCAAGCTCGAGGCGCGAAGTTCCCAGCACGAACCTGCTTGATTCGGTTCGGCTGGACGGTTTTCCCAACTCCAGCAAACCCGATGGGAAAATCTAGCCTGGCACGTCACGTGCGACATCCCTGACATGGCCCGCCATCGAATTTCACGCTGTTACGAAAAGAACACTTGCTAACAGACGCTCTTATACTACTATAGCGTTGTGATCCCAAGAATTAGAACAACTTTGCACAACCGGTAGGCACAACACAAACATTTACCAATACGACTATCCCACGCCTCTTGTTTCCACATGTTCGCCACACGAAGATTCATCAACAAATACTATCAGAAACTGGGATTGAATTGCTAGAATGGGGCATACAGGTATACGAAATAAACCATATCCTTACAGTATAACCCAACCTAGATTATGATGTACACATGCACATGTATAAGTGTACATTGACACACACCCTAGGCTAGGGGAGGGGAAGTGCCTAAAAGATGAGAAACAACTCAGGGCGATACTACTAGCACAGCCCCGATACTACTAGCACAGCCCCTGAGACGATAGGCCACAATGTCAGGCAGCAAGAACAACAAAGTGTATGAGGTACAACTTAGGGGGATACTAGTAGCACAGCCTCTGAGACAAAGGGCCACAAGGTCAGACAACGAGTATAATAAGACGAAATCAAATCAAATACAGTGTACAGAGATCAAGATCATAACAAGTGAGAACCTTCTGGGACAAACTACGCGTCCCTGGGCGCGCTGCTGCACCTCACACAGTAGAAAGTACCGCAGCTAGATGTGGTTGCTCTGCCCTCTAGTTTAGGCTCCTAACACAGAAAAAGCATGGCCTTCTTATAAGCAAACAGTACCGAGGCAGAGCTAGGAGGCTCACCTAAGTTAGTGAGCAAGAACCGAAGATGAGCGAGCGGACCTCCACGAGACTGCTTCGGCGCCAAGACCGAAGCGGTAGCTCTTAGAGGACCCTAGAGTCTGATGTCGTCTGGCCACCACGCGTCAGTGTGTCGCGTGAGTGCAACTGGCTGTTGTTTTCCAAGCACAAGCCCCATGCCTTATGTACCGGCCGGATAGGGCAATACCCTCATACCAGCTTACCAGTGTTCATGTCGGTGTTTCCCAGTTGCAACAAAACGAGCAAGGATGCTGAGAAAACATGCGAGATCTGGGCAAGTGAAGGTCATCAGGTACATGAGGCAACCCACTAGCTCCGCATACTGACCACGAAGCTCAGCAAGATCGTCATTTTCGAACAGAAAGGCCCCGCCCTCGCTTGGGCGCAGCCGATCTCGCCGTCGACCATGAGAACTCGACATAGTGGTCGTCGAGTCAACCTACTTTGGTCGACAAGAATGGTGGTCGAGCAGGCCATGCTCGACGGGACCCGGTCGACGACGCCAGCGGAAGTAGCTGGTCGACGACAGTGGTCGACAATGAGTGATGGACGACGAGTCCGTCGAGAAGTGCTGCTCGACAGAGCAGCGTCGAACTTGTCAAGTGAAGCTGCTCGACTGCAAAACTTGGCAGGTGTGCGAGTTTCGTCCCTAGAAGCTTTGGCGAGGTCGACCTGCGCGCTGGTATCCCGAGGTCGACGTGGTGAATCTGGCACAACTGTCGGCACGTGGCCGACTTGGCACCTGCGCGATGTGCGGGACGAGGCATAACGTGCTCGACCGCCTACCAGCACCTTGTTAGAAAGAAACGAGAATGGATGGACTAAGGGAAAGTTGGGTACAAATGTAAACCCTAGAAAACTGTACCCCATATGTGCTACCCCACTATAGCCTACAGTAGCTATGTCATATAAATCTGACACACCCCCATAGGCAAAGTGGGGGAGAACAAGGGGTCACAAGACCAGTCAAGCATAGCAAAGCAAGCTCAGGGTGGATCACAAAGTCACCACACATTCCGAGCACAAGTTCAAGGCCACAAGGCCAGTTCACATGCAGGATTACATATATATATAAGGCTAGACAAGCAAGAGCAGGTGTATATATATATGCAACAGTACAAACAAGGTCAAGGGGTGAGCAAGTGAGTCAAGGTAGGCACAAGACCCAGCTGAGTACAGAAGCGCTGATGATCACAAGGCGCAAGTGCCTTGGTGAAGATATCAGCAGACGTCTCCCTCCCCTACGCACATCAGCAGCAGAGCGTTGCCGAGCGCACTAACCGCACGCTCATGACGAAGGTGCAAGCGCTGCTGAAGCAGTCCAAGCTTCCCCCGACTTACTGGACGTACGCGATGCACCACGCCGTGCGGGTGCACAACCTACTGTCAACCACCGCCATCACCGGGAATCTGTCCCCGCATCTGAAGTGGACGGGGATGAAGGGCGACACATCCATCCTCCGCGTGTGGGGATGTATGGTGCAGTACCGCCCGCCGACATCAACCATCGGCAAATTCGCAAGCCGCGCGCGCTGGGGGATTCATCTCGGAATACAAAGTGTGGCTCATTCTGGACCTCATCAGCCAGAAAATCACCAAGGCGCGCGACGTAATCTTCTACGAACGTCTCTTCCTCGGCCAGTTCCGCGAAGACGAGCGGACAAACGCAAATCGCGCTCACGCCAACGACGGGCACAGCTACGCCAAGCCCGAGGACGAAACCGCCGTAGCCATCCTGGAGCAAGACTCCAGAGGAGAATTCATAGGAGGAGATCGCCGCAGCAGCGACGGCGACGAAGACCCCTCAGGTGGAGGAGTTGTGCAGAGCAGGAGGATTCGGCGGAGCAGGAGGAAGCGGCGGAGGCGCAGAGGCACCACCGCCTGAACCAGAGAGCGACGATGGTGACGTGCAGGAAGTCATCCCGCAGCATCGCCACGACAGCACCGTCTCAGGACTACAGCTGCTAGGACTCCACACCGCCACCTCAATGGCGCCACGTGTCATCGAGCCCAAGAATCCGCGCCAGGCACTGGCGGGACCACACAGCAAAGAGTGGTGCGAGGCGATGGATGCGGAAATCAAGGCGCTCGAGTCCCGCGACACCTGGGTGCTCGCCGATCGCGCCGCAATCTGTGAAAACAGAACGAGGAATGATTGCATTGAGCAGAATGAGGAGTACAAGTAGGAAACCCTAAAGTGTTGTACCCCATATGAACTACCCCACTACAGCCTACACAGACTATAGCATATAAGTTAGACACACCCCCATAGGCAAAGTGGGGGAGAACAAGAGGTCACAAGACCAGTCAAGAAAAGCAAAGGAAGCGAGGGGTGGATCACGACGCCACCACGCATTCTGAGCACAAGCAAATGGCCACAAGGCCAGTTCACATACAGAGTTATATACAGTGATCACAACCTAGCAAGTGTAAGCATGCAAGTATATGCATAGAGATCACAGTACAAGCAAAGTCAAGAAGTAAACAAGTGAGGCCCAGTGGGTACAAGGCCTAGAACAGTACAGAAACGCTGATGATCACAAGGCTGCAGTGCCTTGGTGAAGACATCAGCAGTGTTGGCCCGAGTGGCTACGTAAGCAAGACGAAGCTGACCACGCTGCTGCAACTCTCGAGCAAGGAAGTAGCGCACAGCGATGTGCTTCGTCCTGTGCTCCAGTCTGTGCTCCAGACACAAGGCAATCATGGCCTTGTTGTCGACGTACAGCACTGGAGGAGAACGAGGCGACTCTCCCAGGTCGGTCAGCAGGTCGGTGAGCCAGCGTAACTCCTGTGCAGCCATGGGCCCTGCGTAGATCTCAGCCTCACAGCTGGAGCTGAGAACAGAAGACGAGCGGGTAGACCGCCACGAAACAGAGCCGGAGCCAAGGCTGAAAGTGTAAACCTGTGACGACCGCTGCGTAGCCAACGTCAGCCCAGGAAGCGTCTGCGTGACCAGTGAGGACAACTCGAGCCCGTCCTCCAAGCACGAGCCCCATGCCCGACATACTGCACAAGTAGCGCAACACCCTCTTAGCGGCATCCATGTGCTCCTTCCTGTGTCTCCCAGGAGCGACATAGCGTGCAAGAATGCTAAGAGGGTAG